AGCAACAGCAACAACAGCAGCAGCAGCAGCAGCAGAGCAGCAGCAGTTGCAACAACAACGGCAGCAACAACAACAACAACTGCAACAGCAATCACAAGAGCAGCAACAACAACAACAACAGGAACAACAGCTACAGCCACAGCAACATCAACAACAACAACGACAACAACAGCAACAGCAACAGCAACAGCAACAGCAACAGCAACCGCAACGGCAGTAGCAACAGCAACAGCAACAGCAAAGGCACCACCAGCAAAGGCACCACCAGCAGCAGCGACAGCAGCAAAAGTCATAATCACATGTTTCCTTAAGGCAGCCGACCGTGGGATCAGTTGTGGCCTTTTAGAATTAACGATTGCTTTTTTAGTTCGGCAGTCTGATGGCACTAGCCACTGGGGAAGCGCGAGAAGGGAGTGCGAAGGTGCTGCAGCCCGGTCTGGTTGGTAGACTTACTTGTAAGGCTCGGGGGAATTCTTAAATAGGCGATAACGAGGAAGGGACATATGATATATGGGTAGGATAGCCCCAGTTGGGCTACTTGGGTTTTAACTTCCAACATCACCGGTTTACTGCTTTCCACGATCCGTCAAGTGCTCCCGAACGTTTAGGGTTCTAGATTCTAGGGATCAGGGTGTTTTAGACCTTGGGCTGGGCCTTCGCCGAAGCGCAATTCGATCGCTTTTGACCACTTCGCTTGGCTTGGCAGCAGATGCTGATTTTCACTTCTGTTCCTACTTCTATAAGGGAGGCTTTATTTGCACGCATCACGTGTGTCTACACTTTTTTGGAGTTGTCCTTTTCAAAACCCCATGCAACACACTTGGCAACGGCTCAGGGCCATTGCAAGCCCTGTTCCTGGAGTCCAGCCTCTCTTGGTCGTCCGACGTAAATTGCCCGAAAGGCAGTGCGAGACGGGGCGTGGCAGATCCAAAAAGCTGATTGCACACGTGATGTGGGGTTGAGGTTGTTACAAAGTTCAGGGTCTCGGAGGAGTTGCGCTCCAGGCTGCTGTCAAGGACCTGCGTTGAAACGTCTCTACCACCTTCCTCACTGCCACCTAAGCTGGGGCAGCTCAAAGATGTGTGTGGCTGGCTGCTACCCCAAGAACGCATGCCCCAGTGTTAGATGCTAAGAAGATAGGAAGTTATGCTGCACGGAAGTTATTCGGCACCTTGAACCCTGCTGTAAGGCAGAAGCGCCTTACACTCGCTGTTTTGGGCTGTGCTTGCAGCTTCTGAGCTCGCTTCCGTTTGGCTCCATCTAAAAGCCGCCTGAACCATGCCGTCTTCATTGTGTGACATGCTTGAGTGAAAGATGTCTTCGTCGATGGTATGAGTTTCAGTTGGTGCTTGACACTGGGAGGTCGAGCAGTTTCTGCTATATTGTAGATCATGGCCTCGGGTACTGACCTGGAGACATGACATACAGCGTAGACCTAGCCTTATAGAAGACTTACGTATCCAGGGCTCGTGCACAGAGTTCCCACGAGGGTTTCTCAATACCTAAAGCTTCGCTGATGGACGGCTCAGCTTTGAAAGGCACGACTTAGCTCATTTGTCGGTTTCTCCATTTTCCAGTCTTGTTTTAAGCATCAGCCACAAGGAGAGCCTGCATGGAGTTCTTTTGCTTCAGAATTGGGTGGTTTGGGCTGTCATTTGTTGATTTGTTCAGGCTGGAGGGACGTCGGAACTGTATATGAGTATATGCGCTAAAGATGCCTGTAATGGGTGTTCTCAATTCGTTGAAAAGATGGTCAATAGAGGCCAGTCTGGTCATTCTTTCGAGTCCTGAGCTGTATATGCGTGCATCGGAGGTGCATTCCCTTCAGAGCCAAATGGCACAGCTGCGATCTGAAATTGCAGAGCTCAAGGAAGAGCTATCGTATACAGTCCGGGCACAGCATCATCATGTAGTAAAATTTTTTATGCCTTAATTTAGACATGTTTCTGTTGTTCACAACGGTCTGGGTGTGTGTTTTGTACCGGTGTCATACCAGCAGTATACTGTACACCCGACCCGCGCATAGCCGTTCGTTGAGTTCCAAGGGTTACAGACTGAAGTTCTTTGGTAGTCATACTCAAACGAGATGGGCCCCGAGATAAACGCCAGAGCTGGGTATAGGAAGCATATATCAATGTGGTTCACTCCTCGCTTGCGCCCCAGTTTCGGCCCTCACTCGTGCCCCTAACTCGGCCTCACCTTTGACGCTGTCCTTCGTTTAGTCGTCGTAGTAGTAGTAGTAGTAGTAGCAGTCGTAGGCGCAGTAGCAGTAGCAGTAATGGTCTTAGCAATTAACATTTTGATTATGGTTACGATCATTAGTATTGTAATTATTTGTCTTGTTACTGACATTATTGTGGTTGTTACCGCTGTTATTACCAATAATATCGCTACTTCTATATAGTATTGCTTTTTTTGTTGTTGCCTCTATTCTTAGTGCTGTTACCGTCAAACAGAGTATTTCTGTTGCAATTAGTTGTATTGGTATGTTTATTACTACTATGATGCTTCTTCGTATTAGTATTCTTCTGGCTGTTGTTACTACTTATGCTACTACTACTATTGTCTACTGGTGTTATTATGTGTCTTCTTCTTCCTATGAACAGTTTTGCTACGAATATCGTTATTGATATTGCGATTGCTACTAGTGTCGTTGTTGTTGTTGGTGGTGGTGTTGCTGTGCAGTTTTCTTGTTCGTACCGTGATGATGGTTATTTGTATTATTATGATTACGCCCTGTATTGCTCTTGTTCTTGCGCTGGTGTTGTCAGTGTTCTTAGTGTTAATCTTAGTCGTGCTTTCAATTTTAACTCTTATTCCATGTTTCTTATTGTTATTGCTGTCCTTGTACTGATGCTTCATCATTTGTGTGCTTGTTATTTATACTATTGCTCTTAGTCTATTCTCGTTCTGAGTCGTTGTATTATTCTTGTTCGTCCTCGTATTCGTATCCTGATTCTTCTTCGTGGTGTTATTGCTAGTGTTCTCGTAATTCTTCGTTATTCTCATTCTGACTGTGGTGATGATAATGAGGAGGAGAATATTGATGGCGGTTAGTATTGTTGTTCTTTTTGTTATCATTGTTATCATTCTGTGTAAGGACTGATCGTAGCCTGCGAACCGTAAGGAGTGAAGCCACGACCGAAAACCTTGAGACGACGAAAACCCTAAGGAGTGAAGCGAACCCAATAACCCATGCCCAACCCGAAGCCTTGCACGGAAGCCAACATCCTGACGAGACGAAACCCTGACGAATGAACGGAGCCATGCCAAGTCAGATGATGCCTCGTAGCCACGACCGCAAGAACTGAGGAGACGAGTACCCTAAGGAGTGAGCCCGATGACCCCATGCCAAAGCCGAAGCCTTGTGTGGGAAGCCGAAGAGGCTAACGAGACGAAAACCCGAAGGAGTGAACCCAATGAGCCATGGCAAACCAGATGATGGCTCCTTTGAAACCGCTTCACCATAAGGAGTGAAGTCAGGAGGAAAAGCTCAGGGGGCACAAGCGAGGCTTAATTTCAGGGGCACAATCGAGACTCAACCTAGGGGCACAAGTGAGGAATGTCTGTGTTTTAGAGCGAGATCCACCTAAACTGAGAACGTGTGGTTGCAAGCAGGCCTACGGTTTGAGTAAGTCAGGTCAGAGGCTGTAGATGGAGTCCGCTGCTTTGTGAATTTGGTGCACAAACAGAAATTTCGGCCGACACTTCCATCGAGCATTGTGTAGCATTCAGTGCGCCTGAACCCCGGAGAGGTGGCATAACGTTGCGCCTGCTAGTACGATGCAATAGGCTTTCTACTTCTTGCCATGCGCCATTGCTGTTTTGTGTTTTGCGCTGCAGTTGCCTTCGAAGGTCTATGTTCTGCTGTCGCTGATCCAAGAAAGCAATGAGCTGTACCGTTAGTATGGCGCGCCGCGCCGGCTGCAGACGCTTTATGGGTTCCCATAGGCATATCTGTTTGGCTACTGCAACAGGCGCAGTCCAAACACGCGCGTACAGCCTAAACTTAACCTTTGTCAGGTTTTGGCGTTTTGCATTTGTGTTTGTCACTGGTTGAGTAATCACTTCGAAATTCGTTTAGTCGTCGAAAGAATAGATTTTGCTCTACTATAGATAGTTGTGCTGATGGCAGGAGCGCAGCGGTGGCATGTCTCCGCCTTTTTCGGCTTTCTCTTCGGAAGCTGCTGCTTCCGCTAGTCGTGGTCGTGGGTAGTGGGTAGTGGGCAATAGTAGTGGTAGTGGTGGTGGCAGTGGCACTGGCAGTGGTAGTGGTGGTGGTAGTGGTGGTGGTGGTGGTAGTAGTAGTAGTAGTAGTAGTATTGGTAGTCGTGGTAGCAATACTAGTAGTAGCTGCTACTGCTACGACTTCAGCCTGGAACCATATCCCGAGATGCGTAAGCTTGAAGCTTCAATCCGTACCGATGGCACGACCATTTGAAGCACAAGGCACGACATCGGTTTAGCGGCCCCGCGTCCAAAAACATGTGCCGTGCTCGAGCTTGTTAAGAATATAGAAAGGCACGATTTGGGCTTGTATTGTTATGCAAAGCTGTTCGCAGGGATTTGTTTGAACTAGCGCGGCATGAAAAGAAGCTGTTGGGATTGGTAGAGAATATGAGGGTTCAAAGCCTACAGCAAGAATCAGACATGGTAGACGGATGTAGTATCAGAAACAGTGACCTAGCACCGCAGCGTTGTGTTCGTAAATGTAAACTGTTGCTGCATCGTCAATCATATCACGTCCGTGGCAAGTTGTTGAAAGGCACGTAGGACGGACCCAAAATCAGAGGGTATGAGCGCCAAACCAACCCAACATCCCGAATGGCAGAAGTGTGTCGCGCCGCATGCTCAAGGCATGTTTTTGGGAAGTTCCGCAGCATGTCTACGTATTCAACAGTGGAAGTTTGTTCCACAAGCATGGCGCCAAGACAGCCGGTTCAACGTGTGTCGGCATTTCGGAACTAGCAATCAACAGCACGACATGTAGGGGTTGTGCCATGGCAGATGAAACATGGGATGTATCCATGCTTGTATCGCCCCCATTGGGCTGCCGGCGGAAGCTTTTCAGGTTGGGAGGGTTCTCTGTCTGAACCTTGCAGGATTAGCACGCAAGAGGCGCATCGCGTAAGAGAGGAACAGGGCAGGCAGAAGCGGAGAAGGGCAAGCAACGAACTGCGGAGTGCAGCAGAGCGGGAAACTAAGCTTACCTGCTGAGAGGGTATTGGAAAGAAGAGATAGAGAGATGTCGATGTCGAGTTGCAGGACGCGATCTCGCTCCATGTCCTTTCCTTTGTTGCCCCCTCCGGCCGAGCTGACCCACTCCATGAGCAATTTGCGGGCGATGTCGGTGGATGCCATGGCCGAGAAGGTTTGTCTGGGCCCAAACGGGCGCTCAGGCTCAGACGTGGTGTGTGTTGAATTCTCAAAAGACGAGGCCAGTCCGACCCACCCGAGAAGCTGCACGGGCAGGCCCGTCTCGGCCGCAATGCTGCTTGCTCTGCATAGGGAGGGCGTCAGGGCGTCTGCGCCTGCAGCCCACTGTCGTGGCATTTCAACCGAGGTCTTTGCGGCCTTGGTCGCGTGCTTCATGGGGGCAACTGATGGCCTTTCTCTTGGAGCCTTGCCCGGGAAATTGGAATTGGTTTTATCCTAGCTTCTACACCGGTTCTGCACTGCTTGATATTGCTACAGCGCGTGTTACGAGGCAGCCTGCTCTTCCCATCATCGGCCGAGTTTCCGCGGCTTGGACAACGCGGGAGTCAATGGGCTTGCAGAGTTGTGGCGCTGAGGCGAGGAAAAAAGAGGCCCAAGACCCCAGGATTAGGAAAAGGGATGTGGCCCTGGTGGTGTCGAATGCAAAAGCCGCACCTGGAAGAGCAGAGGTTGAGCATGGAATTCGAACGCCAAAACTCACTGAAGCATGAGCAACTCTGTTGACATAGGAGCGTCAAAGAAGCCTGCAAAGACCCCGGCTTTTTCAGCTCATCTACCCCTGTCTTAAGCAGCGCGTCTCACTTTAAACCTCACTCCACCCAAGCAGCCCCCGCCCTTTAAGCGATAGAGGCGCCTGCCTCGCCGGGCCCAGGAACCACGAGTACCAGGCCCTGGGGATGTCCATCGGCTTGTTGACGACGCTGGTGGCGAACGCCGGCTCACTGCTGGGCTCGGAGATCCGCTTCGGCGTGGCCGGGGCAAGTGGCCCAGATGCTTCTACAGTAATATATACGCATCAGGATCTAATGAGCTTCAGTGCTTTCCACGCGGGCAGCAGCACTTGAAGGCACCTCCGCACAATCTCGCTGGCCGGGGCGAGTGCTCCGGTGAAGGGCCTCGAGGGTTTCCCCTTTTTGTGGGGCGCTTTTGGGTTTTTTGACCTTCAGGCCAGGACTCAGAGCTTGTGGGTCTGAGGGGATTTTTCTCAGCCAAGGTATCCCCACCGTCATCTTGCTGGCCGAGCATTTCAAGACCCTGGGACCTGGCCGTTGCGCCACGATCTACTTCATGGCCGCTCGGGTCAGCATGAGAAACAGGCAGTCCTGGACATCCTCGTAAGACCCTTGCATGACTTGCCCCTGCCGCAGCGCAAGGTGGCGGTGTGCTCTGTGCTGATTGGAGCAGGGATGTGGCTGGTGGGCAAGCTGCGCTTGGCGCGACTGGTCAAGGCGCCTCAAGCTTGGCGCGCCTCTGTTCGGAAGGAGAACTTATCGGTGTCTCTGCGCGCTTTTGAGCAGGCTTGCCCCTTCGTGATCTACGGCGGCTTCATGGCCGGAACTGGGGCAGCGGCTCCGCCGCAGAAGGGGCCCCGCCGCCAGACACGGGGAGCTTGTGTGCGTTCTGTCCTTTGGCGTCGCTCAGAGGTGCTGCTCCAGTACGCCTTGAATCTGATGGTCCCCGACTTCGTGAGCCCGCAGCCTCGATGTTGGATAGGTCATATGTCATATACCACCTTTCCCTTTGGGGGGGCGGGCCCGGCGGGGGGCCTCAGCTGAGGCTTGGTGGAAGTGGAGAGCTACAGCTCGCTCTTCCTCGCAAAGACCCTCGGCTGCGAGAGATGGGAGTCCGTTCTTCTCCTCTGTTCTTCTCTGAGGACGCTCTGGCAGTGGCTGCCGGGAGCTCTCGGTGGGGCGGTTATGTTCGCACTGCGGGCGGCCAGCCGTGTCAGCGTCAGCTACATCCCTCAGGCCCGCCAGGGGCAAAGCGCTTCGAGGAGCTCTGAGCTCCGCTCTGTTACCAGGATCTGCTGATTCCCGTCTTCCTCATCTCCGAGGCCTCGGAAAGACCGCAAAGCGCGCTGTGCTTTTTGGGGCCGTCGGCACGGAGGCCTTTTTCTTCTTGGTCTGGATGCTCTGGACCGGAAGGGGCCTCGAAGCTGCAAGGGAAGAAGGCCTCCTCTTCCCAGCTGCTTAGCTGCCGTAGCTTTTCCAAGGTTGGGTTGGGCCGGCCACTGTCAGTGTCATCCGAGGTGCGAATGCCGCCCGAGCCCAACTTCTATCGCGTCTGGACAATGCACTTCGAGCATGCCTCGCAGCTGGATCTCAGCGTTTTCATCTGCCCAAACTTCTGGCTGACTGTTGCCGCTCTGTTGCAGTGGGGACAGCGATCTGCGACTCGATGCAGATGCCAACAACTCAGGTGAACGCGGCCTGTATCTCCGTCTTGACTGCAGTCATGAATATTTTCGGGACCCTCACTGCCACACAGATTCGAGTAGACATTGATCGGGAGATGATGTTGCACGGCAGCTACAACATGGGCTGCGGTGCGCTGTCCGGCCTCCCTGCGAACATGGTCATGTCTTTCTCCGTCACTTGCCGCGCTTCTTGGCGCAGCTGCGGGAAGTGAACTCCTTGGTTTTGGTTCAGCCGGGGTTTTTCGGTAAGGATGCATCTCTCAGCGCCAGCTTGTGCTACTGTATCGCGGGAACTATTACTTCCATCACTTCAATCGCGCAAGCTCCTGCATTCCGCCGAGACTTCGAGCATCTGTAACCGCCAGATTCGTTGCGTTGGTCTAAACAGGATGTCGTGTCACGGACACCAGTCCGAGAGTGTTGGCTCTGCCGCACTCAGGCGCTTGGGGCAGATGGTCGGCGGGCCCAGCTCGAAGTTCTCCTCCCCTGTCCTCCTCTCTTCTGTATTGTTTTTATTAGCATTATTTATATAAATACATGAATATATATATATATATATATATATATTATCTCTCTCTCTCTCTCTCTCTCTCTCTCTCTCTCTTCAAAGAGGGTGTTTTTTGGGGCTCGCTCCGCGGCTCCGCGAGGCCGGCAGTTTCAGGCGCTCCTGCTGGGCTTCTCGGCCTGCGCCTTCGTGGCCGGGGGCTACGTCGTGGCCCTGCTGCCCAAGGCAGAAGAGCGGGCAGAGCGGGGCCCGGGGCGGGGCAAGAGAGGAGGAAGAGGAGACAGAGAGAGAGAGAGAGAGAGAGAGAGCAAAGCAGCGAAGCAGCGCGCGCCCCGCCCCGTTGTGTCAGCTCCTTCCGGGCTCCGTGCTGATTTGGCTCTCCTTGGAGCTCATGGCCTTCTGGGTTTGGAACTCTCGGCGCTTCCTGCGAGTCTACGAGTACTGCCTGGCCAGGGCCTCAGCAATCGGACTCAGGGCGGCAGCGGGGGAGCGGCTCGGAGCTCTTTTGGAGCTCTTTTGGAGCTCTCGACTGAGGTCTGGATCATGGTTTGCTTGTACGTGGTGGTGGGCACGGCGCCGATGATGCTCTTTGGCTTCATCGCTGTCTTGGGCATTGTTCAGGGCCAGTTGGCGAGCATCCCCGTGATCCGCTCCCAGAAGACTCTCGGGCACATCCGCAGCTCCGTGCTCCACACCACCTGCGACACGGAGTATTTGAACCGCCGCGGCGCCGAGGACGGGACGGGAGCCTATTCAAAAAGGGAGAGAGAGAGAGCGACTGCAATTCTGTGCTCTCTACCTTGGCCACGGCTGTGAAGGCAGAGGTTTGGACGCTCGGCACGGGCTATCTCTACTTTGCATCGATGCGGCAGATAGTGGAGGAGCCATAGTCTGACAGGTCGTCGTCTCGCGACTTGAGCCAATGCCATTGTTTGTGGGATTTTCGGGCATTACCTCGCAGAATCGAGTTGTTGGAATTTGTCCCTTGAGTCGCGCACTGGGCACAACTTGTGGGCTTCGTAGGCTTCCCTCTTGCGGTCCTTCACACATCGTCCTGCGCCGGAGGGGCCTCTCAGCTAAGCCGACTTGATGCGTAATGCAAACTTTGCTTGACGCACAGGAGCTGGAGAACTTCAACACTGCGTGCTTGTCTCAGCCGTCATGTTAGTGTGCTGTCAGACCTGCAGCCGCCCGAGTGCTGCTCGAGCTGATTGCCGGCTGCATTCTGGAACCCAAACTAGTTTCTGAACAGACTGCTCTGTGTTTTCGGTTTGACGGTTCAGGGTATCTTCAATAGCCAGAAGTCTGGCAGCAGCCAGTTGGAAAAGGCTATTCAGTGGGGCACCTACCTCCATGTCATGGCCAAAACATTACGCGCAAACATTTTGCGTTCACGTGTTCACGCGGTGCCAACATTGCTTTGCAATGCACTTATTATTGAGCACGGTCATCAACTCTACTTTGGCAATCCGACCACCCATACATGCACAAGTGTCGTCAACTTCATTGTGCGGCAGTTTCAAGTCTGATAAAAAGTAAATCTTCTGAGCAAACGCTTACTGCCAACCGCGTCCCCGACTTTGTCTCACAGGCATCACCTGCGCTTCACCTCGCCCTCGGCCGATTCCGAAGAGTTGCCCGACTTCGCCTTCTCCCATGCCGTGAGCTGCGAGGCGAGGCGGAGCGTCCAACCAGTGCGAGCCCCGCAAAAAAAAAACCGGCGTCTGTCCTGTCACCTGTCCGTTCCCCGGTCCCCGGTCCCCGGTCCCCGGTCCCCGGTCCGGTCCCCGGTCCAATCCGGTCCCCGGTCTGTTTGTTTGTCTGTCACGCAGCTGTCGGCCGTGTACGTGACCTATGGAGTCTTGTATCCTGCCATTGCAGGCCCGGCCACACCCTCTGTACATCATCATGAATTTCGACATGGTCCAGCAGATGGAGTGCACGGCTCCGCGCTTGAAGTGGTGCAGACCTTGCTTCGTTCCCACATTGCAAGATTGCCAGGCGGTCAGCGCCTTCCAAGAAGTGCTGAGCTTTGGTTTGCAATCTTGTGGGAGGGCACGGACTCTATCAGACTCTCAAAAAAACACGCTCTGCGCCGCGTAAGGAGCGTGGCCAAAGAGCTGGGCTGCACGCTGATCCTCGCTCACGTGCAGAGCTCCTTGATCCTTCAAATGCAAAACTTTGGGCTGCCCTTGGCCGAGCTGCACGACCAGGTGGGGGTCTAGTCGTCCGGCGGTTTCTGCGCGGAGTCCGCTTCGCCGCTTCGCTCCGAGTGCACCTCTCCTGGCAGAAAAGGGCTCTTCAGCAGTGCTTTTCAGGCACCCGCAGCGGCCGGGGCCGCGGCTCCCGAGCAGCTGCTAGTGGCCCAGAACCTGGACGCGGCAGGGAGGGGGAGGGCTCGGCGGGAGGGCGCGCTGAAATCTCGCTCTGCTTCTGGGAAGCCTTCTCTTCTTGAAGAGGCGGTGGAGTGGGTGGAGGAGGCCTTCCTGCGCTCCTACCAGCCGGCCCCTGGCCACTGCCGGGGTCACACCCACGGCAACCTCAGGCCGGGCCGGGGTCTCGCCCCCACCCCCCCACTCTCTCCCTCTCTCCTCCGGTCCCTTCCCTCCAGGGAGGCGCTCTCCCGCGCCGGCCTGGACATGCAATCGCCTCTGGCCGGGCTGCACGTGGACGTCCACGTGCCTCGGCGTCAAAAAGCCGACACAAACTACTCTCACCGATCGTCTCCGTTTTTTGGCAGTGCCTTGTTGGGTTTATAGTAGGTGTGGCTGGATGGCTACTTTCCCAGCTACAGCCCGGAGCTTCTCTCTGAGCTGGTGCCACTCTTGGAGATCCGAAAGCTGCAGCCCCTCGTTCCAAACAAGTGAGACTTTCTTGCCTGTGTAGGGCTTGAGCAAGACTTGCACCAGGAAGGGGGAAGTCGTGTACTCTGCTCCCAAGACCAAACAGGCCACTTGCAGGAGCTCGGGCTTGGAAATCTGGGCTGCATTTTTTCGGATCAGGATTGCAGGTTTTTGTGGGCTCGACGTTAGCAGGACTTGCATCGCAGTTCTAAACCTCAGAACTCAGAACAGGCTGCGACAGCTCGTTGCAGATCCTAACGACAGGGGATTTGAAAGGGCGCCGCATGTGCCGTGCAAATCGGTTGCCGGAGGAGCTCCGGGATGGTGTATTCCGCGCCGAAGTTTCAGCGCCAACCTCGCGGAGGTGCCTGGATGTCCGAGGCCGGCTGATCAGAACTGTAACTGATGCCACGAGGACAAGGAGAACCGAGAACTGTTCCGCTAGCTTGGTGATCCACTTGTGTGACAGTCACGTTATAAAGCCGTGCACGTCCATCACAATACGACAATGACTCACGCGCGATCCTGCAACTTCTTCCCGGCGCTTCAGGGCCAGGCGCCGCCATTGCTTTGGCTACTGCTCGGCTCTGCTACTCGGACGCGAAAGCGGCTTCCAGCTTCTGGGAAGCCGGAGTCATGGCTTCCAGCGCCTGCGATGGCACATCTCTTCCGCGCGTCCCAAGGTGGAACATATCTGGAACCCGGAAAACGAGACGGAGCAGTCCGTGCGCGTCTTTCAGGACCAGAACCGTCGCGTGGCACTTCGATTAATTCCATCTCTTCAGGATCTCTGCGATTTCTCCTGTGCTTGTGTTTTTTCTTTAATGTCATGCTGTGTTCCGTTGCCAGAATTGTAGCGGAAGCCCTGCAGCGTCGTTGAAAAAATCTTGCCGTTTGATGGGATTTGATGGATGGTGTCTTAGCATGCGGCCAGGGCCAGGACCAGGGTCTTAGGCGCCTTCCCCAAAGACCATCCATGGCTATGGGCCCCTTTTACAGGAACTTGCAACGTGCAGTGTAACACGTTATCTACCATTGTGCATAGTGCATGTTGTGCTGCAGTAATTTGTCAACATGCTATGTACCACAGAGTGACATACTGCGACGAAGTGCAGTGTTCATGGCTCAGCGTTTGTTTCGCACGTGACGACGTGGGGTGCTTGTTGCCTTTCTCGCATGGTCCGGCATACCTAGGTCAAGGTGAGCTTATTGCATGATGCTGCCTGACGTTTTCTTTTCCTTCAGCGACGGCCTTCCGCGCTCTGATCCATCCTGCTGCATGCCCTCTTGCTCTATAGTAACGGCATGTAACGGCTCCTCACGTCGCACCATATGGCCGCGTGGCCGCGTCCCGCCGAGGTCTGGAAGCCGGGTCTGTCTTCGAGAAAGCCTCGATCCTTCAGCGACAGGGCAGTTGGTGTGCAGGGCCCTTCAGCACCGCTCGGGCCTTCCTTGCAAACATGGCCGCTTGACACTATTCACTATTGATGACGTTTAGCCGTTTGGCTTATAGCACTTACAGCACTTCGAGAGTCTGCGAAGCCTCCAGGCACACCCAGGCACTTTACGAGCCGTCGACTGCAGCACCGTCGCGATCCTGCCCCAGGCGAGCGGTTTTGCCGCTCTTGCGCAGCCTCTGCTTGGAAGAGATGGTAAAGAGTCTATAGATGTGTAGAGTCTAGATCGGCATGTAAGGGAGCAGTGTTCCACGCGCAAGTGGCAACAAAAGGCAGCCTACGACAAGCTCAGCCCTGGGCTCCGGCGGCTGCTGAACGCAGGGAGCCTAGGGGGAGCCCGCTGGGTGAGAGCAAAACGGGTCTTTGCCTTTTTCTGCGGTGCCCCAGGCCTACTTGCTGCGGAAGTGGCCGACCTATCTCCACAGCTGAAGCCTGAAGGCCCCCTGCATGTTGCACCGAAGCACGCAGGACGCATACACGCATACACTCGTGACGCGCGTGCCGATGACATGCGGAAGAAGTAGGACCGTGCTGGTAGGGCTTCTTTGGTGTGTTGACCACCCATGTTCATGCGGGAATCTTGAAGCGAAACAGGGCGGGTCGTACCCAACGAAGCTATGGCTGAGAGAGGGAAGCCAGATTTGATCAACCTACAAGTGTGTTGCCAGAGTTGGCATTGGCGCGCATCGTACGAGGTTCAGCCGTCGTCTTGCAAAGTGTGTCTATGTGCGTGTGCGTGTGCGTGTGCGTGTGCGTGTGCGTGTGTGTGTGTGTGTGTGGGGGGGGGGGTGGGTGGGTGGGTGGGTCCATTTCACGCTTCAGGCTTCCCACGATTGACATCGTGTTCTGGGAGGCTCCAGTTCTCCAGTTCTCCCGCACCCTTCGATGACGGCATTAGCTGTCCTGTGACGGCAGGAATCGAAGCGACAGGGCAGGGATGGCAGGGCGGGCCGAGGACCCGCAGAAGGAGGCCCCGTGCTGGAGACTGCGAGGCTTTCTCGGCGCTCGGCGCCGAGCGGCGCTCCGCTGTTTTGCGAAGGCGGGCTTGCTGGTGCCCTCTCGCAGCGTGCACACCTGTGCTGCGACCCATGGAAGGTTCAAGGCGCTGACGTCCTAAGCCAAGATGCGAACCGGTTCGGAGCGCATGAGGACATGCCTGCCTCGGGTTGCAGGTTGCCCACGATTTCTGGGTCTGAAGCCTCGCAGTTTGCGGGTTGCTGCAGGTGGCTCGAAATTATTCGATCTTTGGGTGTTGGTGACAGTTTTCCCTCTAGGCACACACTTCGTCACAGCCCGGTCTGATATTGATGGTTTTTCCAGGTTCGATTAAGACTCAAGACCACCAGCAGCGCCAGCTGTGCGACTAGCACCGGCGCTCTCCGTCCGACCATAGCACTGAGATGCTTCAGCAGAGACTGTCAATATATTCATGCACTGAATTCTGAGGAGCCGTGTGGCATGGCAGGAGCAGAGCAGGGGCAGAGCAGCGCTCGCCACCGAAGCCACACAGAAAGCCCTGGCAGAGCGGGCGATCGTTTCGAAAACTGCGTGGGGGGACATCAGACAGCACGTGCTTAAGCCGTCTGCCTCCGAAACCACTCACAGTATGCACCCGTCGCCGCTTCAAAGGCTCGAAGCTCTGATTTGGGTTTTGGAACGGGGATGCTGAGGCTGGTGCGGAAGGGAAAAAAGGCGGGCCGATAGCACGAAGGCAGCTTTTTAGGAGAGATTTTCCAACTTTTCGGTTGTGTTCTGGTCTACCTCCCGAGGTTTATGCTCCTTGAAGCCCTGCTGCCACTTGGTGCTCTTGCCGTTTACCAAGCCACTTACGAGGCCAGATGTTTGTTCCATGGCCCAATGGCCATCGCGGCTACAAGAAGCTTCTGAGACCCGCAGGCAGCAGTGCTGCGCAACATCGAGGAGGGATATGCCCAGTCCATTAGTGTCTCGGGTGACCCGGCCTGTGCTTAGCTGCTTGGCAGTTGCCTTTGTCCTTGCAACTTCGTAGCAGAGGGATGCCGTTCAATGAACACTTCAGATACATGGGCCAGAGCTTCGGAGCGCGAGCTCGCCCAAAGTCTTGGCATGTCTACTCAGAGATCGAGAGGGACAGCACATTAAACGCATACCCAAAGCAATATAAACATCGTATATAAGCTGTTGGAGACTTTAACCTTGTGTGGCTCTCTCCGTCTCTCTGTCTCTCCCTGTCCCTGTCTGTTTCTCTCTGTCTCTCTGTTTCTCTGTCTCTCTCTGTTTCTCTGTCTCTCTCTCTCTCTCTCTGTTTCTCTGTCTCTCTGTCTCTCTGTCTCTCTATCTCTCCGTCTCTCTATGTCTCTGTCTCTCTGTCTCTCTGTCTCTCTGTCTCTCTCTCTGTCTCTCTGTCTCTCTCTGTCTCTCTCGCTCTCTCTCTCTCTCTCTCTCTGTCTCTCTCTGTCTCTCTCTGTCTCTCTCTGTCTCTCTCTGTCTCTCTCTGTCTGTCTCTCTGTCTGCCTCTCTGTCTCTCTGTTTCTCTCTCTCTCCCTCCCTCCCTCTCTCCCTCTCTCTCTCCCTCTCTCGCTCCCTCTCTCTCTCCCTCTCTCTCTCTCTCTCTCTCTCTCTCTCTCTCTCTCTCTCTCTCTCTCTCTCTCTCTCTCTCAGTGTACACACAGAATGTCATGTGTATGTATGTATGTATGTATGTATCTATGTATCTATGTATGTATGTATGTATGTATGTATGTATGTATGCATATACAGATACATATATACACATATGCATACACTATACATACATGAATCCATACATGAGTCGATACACGAACACACGTCATGCATACCAGTACTTGTATATTTTGTACATATATTCATAGTCATACGCATCTATGCATACGGCCTGTGTGTATGTCGGTATGTATGTACGTATGTATGTATGTATATGTATGTATGTGGCATCGTTCCTAGTCCGGTTCCAATCCTTCTTCCTGTTCCTGCATCTGATATCGGAGTCGTCTTGTGTCCGGCGCTTCTGTCGGTACAACACGGGGTTGGGGATTACTGGGTTTGGGAACCTTACCTGACCTGTTGTTCTTTGCGTGCTTCTGTCGAGTCTTCTCTCTGCTTCTTGACCGCAGTGTCGTGCATGTTTCAGCAGACGAGTGAGTCTGGCGTCCTCATGTCACACAGGTCAAATCGCTCGAAGCGTGCTCGAAGCTGTTGGACCATCGAATCCGCAGGTCTCGTTTGGTGTGGTCTCGGACGTCTGCTGCTCTAAGTGTGTAAAGTTGTCAAAGTTGAGAATCGTGCCCCCGCCAAAATGCCATGTGTCATGTGGGCGACTCGTCTTTCTGCCCCCCAACAATCGTGCTGCCACGGTCGCATGCCCTGCGTGGTGCTTGTTGTGGGGTGCGAATCGAGCTCCTGTTGGCATGTCAGGCTCACGGGGGGAGCTTCAGGTGTGCTCTTGGAATTGCTCTTGGAGGTCTGGCTTTGAATGCTATGCCAGGCTGCTAGGTGTTTTTTCTCTCTCTCTCTCTCTTTGGGGTTTATGCCGGCAGACTGTCTTTGTAATTCCATGTCTCTTGCCAAAGCCAATCGCTTTCAGGTGATGTGCTGGTGGTCGGCGCTCCGGCAGAAGGTTCCGGGGTGGTCTACGTCTATTCGCTGCCGTCTGGCCCTGTTTGTTGGAGCTAAAGAACGCTTCTCAGCCAGCCTTTGTGTTTGTGGAGGGGTTTCAGTTGCCAGGAGTGCAGGGCAGTGGCTCCAGGAGGCGCGGCTTGTCCCCTCCGACGCCGTCACTCGCAGAATCAGCACGAGCTTTTCAAGGTTCCGGATGTCCGATGTTGGATCTTATTTGTTTCTTGACATTTTTTCACCACGTGGCCCCTCTTTGCTCCTCCGCTCTCCTGCATCTTCCCAAGGCCGTCGGCGACCGCTTCGGGAGCTCGCTGAAGTTGTCAGGCGGTTCGGTGTCAAGTCTAGTCGTCAAGGGAAGTCCCGAAACTTCCTTCGACGTTCAGGCGATTACCTCGTGGTGGGGGCCAGCGGCCACGATGTGAACTCCCTCTCCGAGACGGGGCGGCGGCCTCGGAAAGTTGCGGACTCTACTGGAAAGCGCTTCGAGGGGGGAGGGTTGCTTGGCCGCTGGGAAAAGGTCTGCCTACGTCTTCACCCGAAGCTCCAACTGGCAGCAGCAGGCGCGCGGTGGGCCTGGGGCGTTTTGGGAGTTCTCCGGGCCGGGCCCTTCTGGGCTTTGCCTGCGAGGCGAAGCTTCTGGCGAACGACACGAAGGCCGGGGATCGCTTCGGCGTGGCCGTGGGCGTCACCGAGGAGGGCCACGTGCTGGCAAAGGCCTCAGCTCGCCTAAGGGGCCTCTGAGGGGGGATCTCTCAAAGCCCGGTGCCTGCGGTGTTCTTAGCAAAGTCATCGTGTGAGTAGGCCCCACTTCAGACAAGGACAAAGACCTCACAGGCAAGTATCATCGAAAGCCTCAGCCAGCCTTCACGGGAAGAATCGAAGACTGGTTGATTTTTGACATGCCGCCGCCCACTTGTCTGTACAGAGAGAAGAGGCTCTTGAGCCTTGTTTTTTGCGCTGTTAGAGCCTTGGAGTTTTGTCGAGGTGGGCGCCGACTGGCACACTGGCATCGGTGGCCCCGGCAGCGGTTGGGGCCTCGGCCTTGAGCCGCCGCCACAAAGAAGGCTCCCTCCCAAAAAAGCGTGCAACGGAGGGCCCCCGCCTGGCCCCTTTCTGTTGAGGCTTCTATAGGAGGGGGCTTTAGAGGGCATTGGCTGTTGGTCTCCAGGTGCGGCCTATGTGTTCCGTTGTGACGACACGGGGACGGGGTGGTCGCAGGAGGCGGGGCTTGTAAAGCTTTTCGAGGGTTCCGTGCGTAGGAGTGACGTTGCCCAGAAGCTAGGTCGCGAGACCGGCGAGACCTGAAAGGGGGCCCGACCTCTCTCGGACCCGGAACTTCCAGCCAAGCCCCACAGTCTGGATCCAGGCACCCGAAGCCAAGCCTCACAGTCCCGAACTGCAAGCGTTCGCCTTGAGAAGCCTCGCAGTGCGTTAACCGTTAACGTCACAGTCCAGCTCCCGAAGCCCCGATCCTGAGCAGGCGAAGTTGACGGCCAGCGACACGGTGCCCTTCGATCGCTTCGGATCTGCAGTTGCCATGTCTGGCTCCTACGTCTTGGTCTCAGCCGAAGGAAGACACCCCCAGAGACCCCTAGCCCCAAACTCTCATGCAGAGCCAACAAAAAATGCCTCACAGTGTCACTTCCGCCACGGAGTGGCAGTCTTGAGCGGAGGTTCTTCGAGAAAAGACCATCCTAACAACAGTTTAGCCTTGTGTGTGTATATTAGTACACACACATATATATATATACACATACATACATACATTACATACATACATAGATACATACATACATACATACATAGATACATACATACATACATACATACATACATACAGACAGACAGACAGACAGACAGACAGATATATATATATATATATATATATACAAATATATATATATATATATATATATACATATATATATATATATATATACATATATATATATACACATATATTTATATATATATATATATATATATATGTGTGTGTATACATATACATACATATACATATACATACATATATATATATATACACACATAGCATAGCTCACACCCCCCGCCCATGATCCACTCCAACCTGCTTTTTGTAAGCAGGGGCTCATGGGAGGTGGGCAGCTTCGGATGCGAAAACGTCGCCAGGCTCGAATTTCACCGAAATTCCCAAATTTTGAGCAACTATACAACCCCGCACTCCCCAGGGAAGCCAGGATTTTAGGAATTTTGGGGAAATTCGATCCCTGCCTGGCAGCGTTTTGGCAACTTCGGATGCGAAAACAAACATCGCCAGGCTCGAATTTCCGCAGCAGCATTCGGTGCATCACGAAGATTTGGGGTACTGTAGGGATAGCTTATGGGTGATATTACGTTTACGAATAAGATCCATTTTGGATTCAGATATCAGGTTTGCCGGTGAAATACTCCTGATGTTGGATTGATGTTCGGATTCTGGTAGAAATGGGAGTTAACATGCGAAGGACTGGTGGGGTCATGAGTCGGCATAGCATGTTACCCAGAAGGTCTATGGTAGTTTGAGCTGCAGATGTGTTGAGCCAGAGCGTCCCTCCCCTGGCGCCAAGGCCATCGTGGGTGCCTGGGAGGCAGATGCGGTCGGGGCGGCCTACATCTTCGAGAGGTGGGCCCACTGCCGGCTAGTCTAAGGAGAGAGCGGCCCTGGCCTCGTCAATCGGAGGACCTCGGACCTTGCCGGCTGGTCCCAAACCGTGCGATACGAGCCGACCGGCAACTCCACGGAAGGGGACATGCGCCTCGATCAAAGGAAAGGGCCAGTCCCAAAGGTCTGATTGCTGAGTGAGATTTGGTGTGATGTGTAGTGGTTGTCAGAATCATTCGGCACTTCACGGTGCGTAACTGCGTAACTTATGACGGCGACAGGTTCGGCAGCGTGGTGGCGATGTGCCTTGGCTGTTCTGGTGCAACTTGAAAAGCAAGGTATGTCTTGAGGGTGTGGAAAGTGTGCTGGGTGCAACGCCGGCCTGAAAGAGTGTTTTTGTTGTGCGTCGTTGACCGCTGCAGATCGGGGGACACTGCGGTCGTCGGCGCTCATTGGGACGATGGGGAAGATGTGAATGCCGTCGCCCGAGTGGAGTCCGTCGTGGTAAAGCAGTAATAGCCAGAAATTTGCAGCACGAATGGTGGAAGTACCCAATCGAGCTAAACGTACACAAAAGCACTGCTACTGCCACGACCACCAGCACCAGCACCAGCACCAGCACCAGCACCAGCACCAGCACCAGCACCAGCACTGCCACCACCTCGTCTTCACCGTCCTCGTCGTCTCGTCACGATCTCCATCATCATCGTCATCATCATCACCACCCCATCGTACAGATCAACATCCTGATCCTCTCCATGATTTGTTCTTTTGCCGCCACGGTTGCGGCATGATGCATCGCTGTCCCAAGGGCGGCGCGGCCTATATCTACACGCGGCCTCTTGGCTCTGAGCGACATTTCGACGCCTTGCGATAGCTTGGTCCGCGAGGAATGCCACGGGCTGGGACCAGGGCATGAAAGTCTATGCAGATGGCACCAGCAAGGCAAGGAGTCCGACCTGTTGCTCTGCGTCTATGCCCCCCCCCCTTTCAGATCATGCTTCCAAGCCCCGCCGTTTCAGGAAGACCGCTTCGGCATCGCCGTGGACGTGTCAGGCAGCGGGAGGGCGGGGATGACACAGCGGGAGGGCCAGGGAGGGCCAGTGTTTCCGCGACTTCGTCCGGCCTCTGTTTCTCTTTCTGTCATGAGACGGCCAGCGCACTTGTGCTGGGGACGGCTTGCCGCCTTCAATGCTCTTCTTGTTTGTGTAGCTCGAGATGCAGAAGCATCAACTGAGGGCCATGATCTTTTTCATATTCCCGAAAGCATCGCGAAGGGTTCTTCCGTGCGAAGCCCTTGAGCGAAGTACATAGAGTGTAGTACATCGAGTGAAGTGCATAGTGCATAGAGTGAAGTGCATATTACATAGAGTGAACGGCATAGTACATAGAGTGAAGTACAAAGAGGGATGTGCATCGAGTGAAGTGCATAGTGCATAGAGTGAACTACATCATGTCAAGTGCATGGTACATAGATGACTCCATGACTCTATCTCACTCTGACTCTCTCACTCTATGACACTATGACTCTATGACACTATGACTCTATGACTCTATGACACTCTGACTTTGTGACTCTATGACTCTGTGCTTTTGACTCTATCCGACTTATCTACATCTTGGTATATAATCTCTCTTTCTAAAGCCAGGGTGGCACCGTCGTCATCGATCGGGAATGCAACCCTTCAGAGGGATTGGCCCGGTCGAGGGCCCAAACGTGTGGGAAAGTCACAACTCTTAGGGGCCACGCGCAACCTTTCAGAGGGATTGGCGTGGGCCCAAACGTGTGGGAAAGTTGGTACTTTTCGGCGCTCTCAGGCACCATTCGCAACCCTTCACAGGGATTGGCTTGGTAGTGCCAAAACGTGTGGGAAAGTTTCAATTCTTACAGTGCCCGTGCAACCCTTCACAGGGATTGGCATGGTCGAATGTTGAAACGTGTGGGAAAGTTTCGGCGCTCTTAGGCGCCATTCGCAACCCATCACAGGGATTGGCGTGGTCGAGTGCACAAACGTGTAGGAAAGTTACTACTTTTCGGCGCTTTTAGGCGCCATTCGCAACCCTTCACAGGGATTGGCGTGGTGGTGCCCAAACGTGTGGGGAAGTTACAATTTTTAACGTGCCCGTGCAACCCTTCACAGGGATTGGCGTGGTCGAATGTTGAAACGTGTAGGAAAGTTACTACTTTTCGGCGCTCTTAGGCGCGATTCGCAACCCTTCACGGGATTGGCGTGGTCGAATGCCTAAACGTGTGTTAAAGTTACTACTTTTCGGCGCTCTTAGGCGCCATTCGCAACCCTTCACAGGGATTCGTGTGGTCGAGCGCGCGAACGTGTGGGAAAGTTACAACTTTTAGGGGCCACGCGCAACCCTTCCTAGGGATTCGTGTGGTCGAGTGTACGAACGTGTGGGAAAGTTATTATTTTTGCGGTGCTTTGCGGTGCTCGGGAGAGAAGTACATAGAGCGAAGTACATAGAGTCAAGTAGTGAAGATGTACTTGACTGTATGACTGTATGTACCTGTGTACCTGACTTATGTACTTGACTTTGTGCACTGGACTGGACTAGACTAATATGACTTTATGTACATGTATACTTGATTCTATGACTCTTTAGGGTTTAGGGTTTAGGGCTGAGGGTTTAAGGCTTAGGGTTTAGGGTTTATTGCTAAAGGGTACAGGGCTTAAGGTTGTACAGCGAGTTACGTGCATAGTACATAGAGTGAAGTACATAGAGTCAAGTCTATGTAGTGCATCGAGTTACGTGCATAGTACATAGAGTGAATGAAGTACATCGAGTTACGTGCATAGTACATAGAATGAAGTACATAGAGTCAAGTGCGTAGTCCACAGAGTGAAGATGTACTTGATTCTATGACTCTGTGTACCTGTGTACCTGACTTATGTACTTCACTTTATGCACTGGACTGGACTAGACTAATACGACACTCTATGTACATGTATACTTGACTCTATGACTCTGTAGGGTCTAGGGCTGAGGGTTTGAGGCAGCTTAAGGTTTAGGGTTTCTAGGCATTGGTTCACCAATAGTAAACCAATAAATCTCAAGATTTTCGTTTATTTCAATCATCCAAGAAAACTTGAGGTTTGGGGGCTCTTGAACCGGAAATTTGACCTTAGCCCAACAGAGACACCTCCAGTATTAATGTTTGTATAAAATAAAGTATTCGATTTGGGGTGCTCGGGAGAGAAGTACATAGAGTGAAGTACATAGAGTCAAGTGCATAGTCATAGTCCACAGAGTGAAGATGTAATTCTAGGTACCTGTGTACCTGACTTATGTATCTGACTTTATGCACTGGACTGGACTAGACTAATATGACTCGATGTACATGTATACTTGACTCTATGACTCTTTAGGGCTTAGGGTTTAGGGCTGAAGGTTTAAGGCTTAGGGTTTAGGGTTTATTGCTTAAAGGTTTAGGGCTTAAGGTTTAGGGTTTATAGGCATTGGTTCACCAATAGCAAGCCAATACACCTCGAGATTTTCGTTTGTTTCAATCATTCAAGAAAAACTTGAGGTTTGAGGACATTTGAATCGGAAATTTGACCTTAGCCCAAAAGAGACACCTCCAGTACTCAAGTTTGTATACAAAAATCGATTTAACCTGGGGACTCTATGGACTATTTGACTCTATGTACTTCACTCTGTGCACTTGACTCTATGCACTTCACTGTATGCAGTTGACTTCATGTACTTGATTTTATGCACTGATTCGAGAGCTGTGACAACATGGAGTGAAGTACGCAGAGTGAAGTACATAGAGTGAAATACACAAAGTCAAGTACATCGATCTCGGTATTATTATGTAGTTGATGACTATATGCACTTCACTCTCTGACTCGATGATTCTATGCACTGGATTCTATGACGCAGCGCAAAACTCTTCGCTAATGATGCTTTCGGGCCAATTGTCTTCTAGTTACCACAACTGTCCGAACGTGTGCAATTGCATCTGCAACGGGTTCCGGGCTGTGGCAGAGGTGAGAAGAGGCTGAGTTCGCAAGCGCGGCAGAGTTTCCTGCTGCCACAGTCCTTCTTTCCCGCCTTCGCCCAACCCTTTCAAGCTGCCTTGAGATCTGCCAAGCCTGTTCTCATCTGACTGCAGGGAACGCCATGATCATCGGCGCCTACTTTGACAGCGACCATGGCATTTGGAGCGGCGCGCCCTGTAGCGCACAACATACCCCTGGTGCAGTCTTTCAGGGAACCAGTGGAGCAAGAGCAGCCAAGATGGCAACGCAGGTTCGGCCTACGTCCTTGCGCAGTTGGGTGGGGTCTGGAGCTTCCAGGACCCAGTTCAGTTCTCCTCTGAATTCTGAGCTTGTCGTGATGTTTCTTGAGTTCTCCTGCACCCTGAGCCCTAAATCCTACGTAGAAGCCTTAGGATCCTAAATACGATGGAAGAAGAAGGAGCCTCCAACAAAAGCCGTCGGGAGAGACTTGAGGAGAAGCTGACCTGGAGCAACGCATCCGCTGGAGACTTTTTTGGGCGGTCCGTGAGCATTTGGGACAGCCACCCGCTTCCCATTATGTTCTTCAGGGACGGCTGTAGCCCTTCTTGTCTGATGGAAACATCACGTCACAGTGTACTTCAGGATCTTAACCTATTCTTTCGAGCTTCGGCGAAGACCTGCTGCCAAAACCTGATCCCTCGAGGCCAAGCGGGACCCTTTACGGCAGCAGTGGGTGCACCGGGCGGAAACCTCAGCCTGGTCTTCGAGGGAGGCCGGGGGCTACGCTGACAGATATGTGCGTACTTATACAGTGCACGTATATGTTCCTATACTCTTTATATTAACTTTATATCTCTACATGGATATAGAAGAATATAGACAGATATCTCGGTTTAAACAGTGAGCCGAGGTGATGTGTAATGTCTTGTATGCATGCACAGAAACATGCATGGATTATATCTGGCCATGCTTATGTGGCCCCAACTTTGGTCATGGGCGAAGCTTTCCCTAGGTGCTTACATATGTGTACAAGTGAGACTGTTTCGCAGGTCTAAGTCTGCCAAAAACACCTGCGGTGCCAAGAAACAAACACCAGAGAGTGAAGAAACGCCAGGGCGGGGCTTGTTCAACCGCAGGATTGCCCACGACCACGACGACCACAACGCGAAGTCTCAGCAGCACCAGCAGCAGCAGCAGCTCTCTGAGCTCCAGCAGCACCAGTACCACCTCGCAGACCACCTCCAGTACCACTTCGAGGCCCAGCCCAGCGCGGCTCAGCGGCGGCCTACTGGGCCGAAGGTTCACAGAGTTTGCTTTCGGAGGTCTTCGACGGTCACCTCGACGACCTCCATCACTTCGACGACGACGGTGTCGATATCCTCCACCACCACCAGCAGCACCGCACTGAGTCCGTGCCAAGCGAAGAACCTGGCAAGGACTCACTGCTTTTGCTGAGGCAGCGCCACGACATCACGGACTAGCACGAGAACAACCAGTGCCCTGTCTGAACCGAAATCGCATGCACACTGCACAGCGGCACAGCAGCAAGGGCACGTCCAGGCACTTCATCCTCTGCTACGCGCACGAGCAGCACCTCATCGTCCTTCACACGGACAACCTCTTCCAAGACAGATACCAGCAGGACAAGCATCACCATCACTGCCACCACGACTGCCACCACGACTGCCACCGCGACTACCACCGCGACTTCAACCACGACTGCCACCACGACTGCCACCAAGTCCTGGAACCTTACCGGCATGTCAAGGCTGATGCGGGTCAGTACTTTGAAACGGGCTGTGTCGGAACTGCTGAGGACGTCCACAAGAACAAGCACGCGAAGCACCACGGGAAGTACCACGTCCGCTCCCAGCGACGGAGGTCTGCCGGGAGGCAGAGCTGAGAGAGCTCGAGCTCGGAGCCGGCTGCATGAGACAAAAGTTCAGTCACACTTTCGTTTATTCTTGCTTGAGGAGTGGTGAGCACCTCTGCCTCGGCCATCTCCGGCTCCCACAGCGACTCTGCCAGCACTTCTGGCAGCACCGCTGCCTCTGGTGCCAGCAGCACAACGGGCTTCGCTGGCGGTTTCAGCACCAGCACAGCTTGGAGCGACGGGCACCTGCAGTGGGGCTTCGAGGCCTCCGTTTTTTTTTGCAAAAAACAGTTTGCACATGTTTGCACTTGCCTGCCGTGGAGCTTCACAGGAGTGGGAGTTTGACATGAATGCTGCCAAGCCATCGTGGACTGTGAATGGGCTCGTCTTCGGGCCCTTCGCCTTCATCATCTTATCACCCTAGTTAGGTTGGGGTCGTCCCCGAAACGCTAAAGGGTCTCAGCCCGCCACACCAGCTGGTGGGGAGGCCAGGGTTCATCGGCCGGATGCATCCTTTGCTGCGCCTGCCTTCTTGCCCTTTATAGCCACCACATGCGTGGCGTCCTTTGCTGCGTCCGCAGCTGAGCTAACGAGCCTGAGGAGGCGGCGCGCAAAGACGCGCGCGCGCCACCCGCGCTGCTCTCGGGGCAGTGCCAGCCTCTCTTGAAGATTTTGATGGCCGACGGGCGGCGACTGCCAAGCAGTCGGCGGAGTCGCTGAGTCGCAAGGAAGCCGTGAAAGCGCCAGTCGCACGGTTTGTCGCCCTTTCCGCTTTTGCTGCTTTCTGGGTCCTTTCTCTCCTCTTTCTGGGATCTTTTCGGATCAGCAGACTGCTTCCACGGCTTCGTGCGGTTCGAAGCCATGGAAGCGCCTCTCTCGGCCGAGCTTCCCCGATCGCATGGCCGAAGAGGCCGAGGAGGCGGAGGCGGAGGCGGAGGCGGAGGCGGAGGAGCGTTTCTTGGAGCTCTCGGCCAGCCTCGCACTGACAGGAGCGGAGGGGGAGGGGGAGGGGCCCCCCTTGCGAGTCTTCCTCTTTCGGAGCTCTGAGCTTGAGCTTTTTCCCCTGAGGTGAGTGGCTCGCCCGGTTCCGGGTGCCTCCTGGCGAGACCATCTCCGGCCTCGGCCAGCATCTTGCGCAAGCCACAGGCAAGGTGGGCCTGGGGGGCCCCCCAGAAATTTTTTCGCGGCGCGGAGTGTTCTTGGGAGGTCAGGTCGTCGACTTCCGGCTCGTCCTTCAGGCATGACGGCGGCGGGGATTGCAGCTGCGTGTGGCTGCGTGTCCTTGCAGGGCTCCGTGCTGGCGACCGGGCAGACGCTGGTGGCTGCGGCTCGGCTTTGGAAGCTTTGAGGCTTTGGCTTCAGCCTCGGAGCGTTCGGACCCTCCGCTCTGTCAGGCGGGGCTGGAGAGGGAGTCCCACGTGCTCGTCGTGAAAGGGGACCGCCTCATCGCCACGGCCTCGCACGACGGTTCCGTGAAGATCTTCCGGGCGCACACCGGTCAGTGCCGCTCGGAGCAGCGACGTGCAGCTGAGAGTTGGGCCCTGCGCTTCTGTTCCTGTGAGGTCTGCAGACGCTCTGGCACGAGGACGCCGTCTCCTCCGCCAGCTTCTCCCACTCAGCCCAGCAGGCGCGGAAAGAGCGGAGAGCGGCGCCGCGCGGCCACGCGGCCGCGCAGCCGAGGTCCTGACGACCTCGGGCTGGACGGCACGCATCTGGAGCCTCAGCGGAGACGAGGAGGCCCGAAGTTGACGGGACCCGGACGTGTGGAATTTTCGTTTTACTCGAGACAGGTGAGTCTTATCGGGCATACCGGCGCCGTGGTGCCTCTCAGCAGCAAAGACGGTCTAGCCGCCACATGCGCCATGGAAGGAGCAGACTTGCGCTGAGACCGAGGTCCGGCAGCTTTGCGCCCGACGATCGGTTGGTGGTGACGAGTTCTAGCCACGATAACACCGGCCGCATCTGGTGCGCCCAAACCGGGGCTGCCCGTCGTACACGTATGAGCTGCACTGCACACCGCAGCAAAGCCTGTGATAGAAAGCACTCTACAACGGCACCACACACAACATGCTGCTATTCCGTGCTCTCACATGAAATTTTCAATTGACAGGCGCGACATCAGGTTTAACAACGTACGCATCGCTCTGGTTTCAGATTGTAAACTCAATCCAGCAAAATCCGACATCAGCTGCCCAAGAGCCAGTGTCGCTAACTTGGCCCTTAGCCAACCTCATGAAGTCCCTCAGCGCAGTGCCTCTGCGTCGCCGAGGCCTGTGTGCGGGTGCTGACGGGCTACGAGCTGGCGGGTGCCGCCTTCACGCCCGACGGAACTATGGTGCTTCGCATAACGCTAGGTGTGATTCGACTGCGTGGTGTCCGTTTTGGTGTGCGTTTCTCGCTGAGCCCGGGGCCCAGGTGCTGGCCGCCTGCTCCTGGGAAGACTGCGCCCTCCTTTGGTCTGTGGAGACCGGGGAGCTGGTGAGGACCTTCCAGCCCCACAGCTCTGCTCCTCGGTTGCGAGAGATTTGGGGGGGAGATTTGGGTGCCGTTTTGGTTTTGCCCCTGGAGGCGGTGCTCTCGGCCTCCATTTCCCCAGACGGTTTCACCGTCGCGACCGCCTGCTGGAACGGTGAGCTGCACCTTTGGTGGGCCGCTCGGTCCTTATAGCATCTTCCCCGCTTTCCACGTTCTCCGTTCGGCAGAAGGACTGAAGAGGTGAGTAATCGCCCCTCACGGCCAGGCCGACTCGGGTCGCTGCCGGGCTTGCCTCACGGGCCCGGATCAGAAGTCCAAGGAGCGCCGCCGGAGAAAGCGCATCGAAGCTCGGAGCAGCAGGGCTCAGCAGGGGCTTGGCGGGCGCTCGCTGTCTGAGAGGTCCACGTGGCTTTCTCTCCGGATGGCGGCAGCCTCGTCTCGGCGAGCAGCGGAGCGGCGTTGGTTGGTCTTTCTAGACGTGTGTGGGCCTTCGGCCGCATGGAAGCGGGAGCGGCGTGCGGGGACTCTGAGGCATCCACCACGTTGCGCAAGTCTGGGATCTGACCGGGGCTCTGGCCCTCCGACTGGAGCTGCAGCATGGAAACTCGGTGACCTCCGCTTCCTTCTCTCCGGATGGGGCCTGGATCGTGAGCAGCTCCTACGACGGTGGGCGGTGGAGGGGGGCGGGGGCGGTCAGGTCAGGTCACGTGAGTTAAGAGAGCACAGAGCGGGCAGCCCTCAGGGCAGCCTTGCCTTGAAGCCTTGCCCTGCCTTCGCGGCCCTGCTCGGCAGGCACCGCGAAGATCTGGAACTCTCGGACTGGGGAGCTCGTGAGGACGCTCGAGGGCCACGCGGATGCAGTGCGCACCGCCTGCTTCGCACTGGCCTGCGTCGACGACTGCCTCGTGAGCTGGAGAAGATGTGCCCCCACCGCTTTGCCAGCTTTGTGACTTTGTGCCATTGTCTTGCTCTTTTTGTCGTGGCGGTGTGACGGGATGACTTGGGATGACCGTGATTGGGAACAGCCGACCAGAAGAAGTCAGGATAGCTGCAGCCACAGCAGAGGCAATGACGACGATCTTCGTCCTCGTCGATCGCTGCTGTTTGCTGTCGGTATTCGTGTGATGACGAATCATATCCACGTACAACCAACACCAACATGGCGACCAGGGCCTCATGAGAACCCCAAAATTCTAAATCTAACCCCAACAAGAGCAAGCACTTCAGACACGGTTGTCTTTGGGACGCTTACGTGGCTGTGGAACGGCTGACCGAAGAAGTAAGGATAGCTGCAACAACAGCAGCACCAACCGCCGGGACGGCAGCGACGACCGTGGTTGTGTTTATCATCACTGCCTTTTGGAGCTGTCAAAACTAGACATGACAAAGAGAACTCTTCTGCCGGCAGTTTGGCTCGAGCCAGCAGGGCAACGCCCTGGCCAGGGAGAGCGACTTGGTTTGTGTTGGGCACGGAGAAGCCGCTTTTCCCGAGTGTCTGTGCATCCCGATAGAGGTCTTGGCTCAAATGGGGCAGCCAGAGCCTCAGAAACGGTGTTGAGACGCAGCCTCAAGTTGATTGCCATCGTCGATGATGGCTGTCATTTAGCCTATCGGTACACTGTCTTATTCAGCTCGTTTCGTGGTGCTTTGCTGTTCTCATCGTGACATCTAGTCCAGGAAGAACTGCTGCCAGTGCGATGAGCACACGGAGAGCAATGAGGCCAAGAGCGGCGCAGTGGCAGAGGTAAGTGAAGTCTTGCAAATGATGACGGCCTTTGCGCCACAGGCGACCATCCACAGGAGCTTGCCGGCGATGACGGACGAGGACCCTGACGAGTCGAGTGCGCCGCCACTGCCTCAGGAGGGCACGGCGGGTTTTGGGGGGCCTCTTGGGGGGCCTTGGGGCCTTGGCAAACACTGTTTGCAACTCCAAGGAAGTTCGTGGAGGCGGCCGAGGTGGTGGGGGAGAGGGAAACGACTACACCGCGGGAGAAAACCGGTCGGATCTTAGCCTCCCGCCTCCTGCAGGCGAACAACCAGCTCGGCAAGGAGTCCAGCTACTTCGATCGAGAACGAGCGCAGCTCTCCGAGATGCAGGCGCTGTGCTCTCCGCTGTGCTCTCCGCTGTGCTCTCCGCTGTGCTCTCCGCTGTGCTCTCCGCTGTGCTCTCCGCTGTGCTCTTTGCTCTTGCTTTGGGGGCACTTCGCAGACCAGGCAGGCGCAGCCAGCGTTCGAGACGGAGAGCCTTTCACGTCGCTTTGCAGATTCGGAGCTCCGAGCCGGGAGAGCTCGGTCTTCTGAAGTTGCGTCCCAGGTTCCGATCCGGTGCCGTCTACAAGGCTCCCTGGCCTGGACTTCCCCCAGGTCAAGACTTTTCGGTTTGGGTTTTCCGATTCAAGGCACTGAGAAGACAGGACACTTCAGCACAAAGAAAGCAGAGGCTGTTGTCCAAGCGTCTCCTCTCCTTCAGTGAGCTCAGGGCCAATGGAAGAACGGTGTCCGTGAGGGCATTGGCAAACAGACCTGGCCGGACGGAGCGAGTTACTTCGGCCAGTGGGGCTCACAGAAGGGCCCAGCACTGCTCTGGGTTTTCTTGGGGAGCAGGTCCGCTCTTTCTCTCTCTCTCTCTCTCTCTCTCTCTCTCTGTTTCCGGGATGCAGGGCTTTTCTCCCACAAGTGGTTTTTTCCCTGCATCTGTCGGCTTCAATGTATGCTCTCTCTCTCTTTGTCTCTCTCTCTCTCTCTCTCTGAGGTGGGTGGCAAACAAAGCTCAGGGAATGGGCCGCTTTCTGCACAGCGCTTCGGCGGAGACGTCAGACTTCGGGAGTGTCCTTCTGTAAGTCCTTCTATGCTTGGGCTTTAGGGTTCTTCTTGGCATTCTGCCTTTCGGTGCTACGCTCATCGGTATTTTGGCGGCCTCGCTGTGCCTTCGTGTGAACGTCGGATCGCCAAGCAGGTGATGGCGACATCTACATCGGGTGTCGGGCCGAGTCGGACTTTGGTGGGACTTTGGAGCCGCAGAGACGAAGCTCCCAAAAAAGGGGGGCCGGGGCCGGGGCTCTGGGAAGTTCTCCTCTCGCGGTCGCGCTGCGATTGTCGCTGAGCGGCGCTTCGAATGGCTGACATCAGGCAGTGGCAAGACAACATGGCCAGCGGATGCGGGAGCTCCGAAGTGTACACGTGGAAGGGAGGCAGCTAATCTTGATCTTTGCGGCTCCTGCAGGAAGTACTACCACAAGGGCAGTACTACCTACGAAGGCTCCTGGAAGAAAGACATGCAGGTGCGAGACCCCCGCAATTCTCCTCTTGTGCTGTGCTGGGCCGGTCAGGATGGCTTTGGGGTGGAGACCTGGGGCGAGGGCGCCCGTTACGAGGCAAGGGCCGCCCCGTACTGCCCACTCCAAAACAGCAGGCTCCGACATCTGTGTCTGTCCGTGTCGCAGGGGAGCTTCAAGGAAGGGCAGAAGGAAGGCTTCGGCCCTGGGCTCAGCGCGGCGCAGCCAAGAGATCTCAGAGATCTCCGTGGAAGCATCGCGTGGTTCCCCACGCGGAGGCATCTACTACTGGACCGACGGTTCCAAGTATGAAGGAGCGCGCGGCCTTCTCTGAGACACCACTCCTGACTCCTCTCACTGTAAGTATTTTCCGTGGGTGTGTGCGTTTCGGCTCCAATGTCTCGCCTGCCGCTGTGTTGAGTCACAGGAGCCTGGCGGGACAACGTGATCGATGGCGCAGGTTGGCGAGTCGGCGAGTCGTGGTTCCTCTGACATGAGATGAAAGAAGCCAGGACTGTAGACCCTAGAGTCACTAGAAGTTGGAATTCGATGAGCGACACACGAACAGAAACTCGGAGGCCTCTACGTCGCCAGCGACGGCCGCACTTTCAAAGGGCAGTGGTCGGACCGCTGACAGTATGCTTTTGAGGTGCTGTTGCCTGTGTCTCAGTGAGAAAGCTTGAAGGACTCCATGATCCACGGTGTGGGAAAGTATGCCCCTGGCCAAGTCACGCCTTGCACGGTCAAAGCTCTTTCCGCCATGTTTTTGTGCGAGGATTGGCCCGGTGGGCGACAGTGCGCCGGGGATGGGAAGTTGCGTGGGGCGGTCACGAGAAGGCAGCAATGGCTTTGGGTGCAGGTACGCCGGTGAGTACGTCAGCGACCAGAAGCATGGCTTCGGAGTTTTCCGCTTTGGGCTTGGTGTCTCACCGCCTTTATGCCGGAGCTCGTGATCTAGCAGCTACGGAATGCTCAGGATGGCCAGATGGTCGAACGTGCCTCGGTCTGAAGAGGAAGTTCAACCGTGGAAGCGGGCTTCGAAGTCAGAGGTTAGTCAGCACCCTTCATGTTCCCGTTCCTCCTGCGTGTCTCTGCCCAACAGATAAATGGATTCTTCGAGGGAGTCCTGCACCCAAGGAGGTAAGTGAATCATGCTCTTACCGGCACTTCTTGTTGGCCAGTCTTAGCTCGCTGAAGCCAACAGAGAGTCGTGCACAGAGTCGCTTTAGCATTCGCTGAGGTACGAGGGCTATTGGAAGGATGGCAAGCAGCACGGCCTAGGCCAATACACGACAACGGACCGAGCCAGGGGCGACGGGGGAGTAGTTCGGTTCCGATGCTCTTAGCTCTACTGCGAGAGCCTTCTTTCTCGCACGTATGATCATGATCAGCCACGATTTTCTCTGCAGTAGAGGTGCTTCTCAGGAGGTACTTTCATGCCACTCTTCACTTCAAAGCCATACCCAGTAATTGCCAATAGGTACACCCGAAATCTTCAAACGCGTTTATGCTAGCTTTTGGAAGCGTTCAGAAATGTGGCTAAAGTTTTCTGAAACGTCGTTCAGTCTTGGCAGCTTTTTGGAAGACTTGGTGCCGTTCTTTTTCCGAAGTTTGTGTCTGAAGAAGATTGCAAAATAGTTCCAACCTCCAGAGCAGTACCCTCCATGAAGACGACCTTAAAGAGACAGGACGGTGTCACCAAAATGGCACGCTGGGAGAATGGACGGCGTGTGGAGGCTCTGCTGCTTCAGGGCAGTCTCCCGTGACTTTGCTACTTTTCGGCAGGTCATGTGATCACCTGCGAATGGTGTGCAGATGACCGAGAGTGAAATGCCAAGAGGCGACAAGCGACAGGTTTGTGCCGCTTGAGACACAGCTGTTTATGTCTTCTCGGCAAAGCTGAGAATGGCAGGCGATTCTAGTGATTGTAGTGGTTCAAGCGTCAAAAAGGTCTGGCCGAGGTGATGCCAGTGACTTCGGAGCACTCACCGAGCAGCCTTGAACCCCAGCATTCTAATCCATGATCCGAATGATCCGAAAGCCTGAAAGGCAGAGCAAGGTCTGAGCTTTCGTGCAGCGGTCTCGGCTGGAGAATGCGGAGCGGTTCTGCGCGGCCTGGCAATGGGGCTGCCCGGGAGCCCGAGCAACGCGAGCAACGCGAGCAACTGCGCCGCCTCGGTCTTTGCTCCGACCTCGGATTCTGCGCGCATGATTCCGCTTTTTTGTGGGAGCCGCTTCTGGGGAGCCGCCCTGAGGAGATTTCAGATGACGAGAGCGAATCGGACACGTCGCTGACATCGCCCTCTTCCCAGAACAGGAACAGCATCCAACACCGGGGGTTCCGGGTGCCCTGTGCCCTCCGAGGCTGACTCAACTGCTGGAGGAGTGGATGGATGAAGAGATGGCATCCATTGAGAAGGAGCAAGCGGAGCGGCGACAGGTGGACGGAGGCTCGCTTGGGGATCTCCGAAGCGGAGAGATCTCACAAGGCCAAGGCCAGGGCGGAATGCCGAGCTTTGAAAGCGTCCAGCAATCTCTCGCTGCTCTCTCTGTCTGTCTCTCTCGCTCTCTCTCCCTCTCTTTCTGATCTTTCTTTCAGCACTTGACGAGTGCCTGGAAAGGCCCTGTTTCGAAGGAGGCGCCTGCAAAGGCGCAGACGGCGCAGCAAAGCTATGGTGAGGACAGGGCAGGGATCAGCGACAGACGCTCAATCGGCCCATGAGTGGCTTTGGGGCGCTTGAAATTGGAAGCTTTGACGGGCTTCTCGCGGGCTGGTCATCTCGTTGTGCCATTCGGAACCTATTGTGCAGACCTTTGCTGACTTCTTTGTAGACTAGAGGTGGCTAGTGCAGACGGCTCGGGTCGATTTCCTTCCTGCTTTGCCTCTTTTCTGTTGGACTGTGGACTGGCGACGACAATTCGTCATCCGTTGGTTCAAAGGGCGAGACTGGCAAGACTGGGTTCCGGAGCTTCGAAAACCAGGAAGGTTCGAGCCAAGGTGTCCGGAAAGACTTGCGCGGTCCCCTCGCGGCTCGTAGGACCTGGCCTCCCTTCCCTGGGAGACCCTCTGGCGGAAGCTGGAGGCCCAAGGACCGGACTGGTTCCTCTCCGCACTACAGTGCGCGGGCTGTGCACGGGCTGTACGTGCTCTGTGAAGGATGGCGGATGGAGCATGGCCCGCGTGGGAAGGGCCGCCAGGCCAGCACTTTGTCGACCGCCGAGCTTGGCCACAGCACTCTGCCACTTTGTGATCAGGCCTACTACTTGCCCCCCGGCGTCAAGCGTGGTCCAGGCGCCGAGCTGGCGCTGCATGCTGCAAGCTTGGGTCCGTGCTCGTCTCCGCACGCCGCAGGCAAGAAGAACCGCGTTGACTACTTCGACTCCAAGAAGCTGGTGTTGCAGCTGCTCTCTTGCGGCGAAGGCAGGAAATCCTTTGCGCCAATCTCGCAGAGGGAGAGCGGGAAGACCCTTGAGCTTTGTGGTGGCATGTGACCCTAGTCGCAGTGTGTTCGAGTCACAGGAGCAGGGTCGTCGTCAAAGCAACTTCGGTTCTGATCAAAGCTTTACACGAATAGCGCTTGCAGATTGATCGCGGAAATCATCCTGGCCCTATGCAGCGCAGGTTCGCAAAAGCAACGACAGAACAGCACTGCAGCACTGCAGCACTCGGAGAACGGTGGTGGCAGTACGAAGTTCATGCGGGACGAGGCTGCAGGCTGGCGCACAGCCACCCAGGCAAAACCAAAAACTTGGCGTTGAGGTTTCAAGACAAGCCTTTTTCATGTTTATTCCACAGCACTGACGGGACCTCGATGCCGGATGCAAGCAAGAGCGAGAGCGACTCACCCCCTACTAAACCCTAAAGGCTTCTTTTCTCGCATCGTGTCTCGTGAAGGCTGCACGCTGCCAAGCAAAGCTGCAGAAGTGCCCGAGGAGTGAGAGCAGGCATCAGGCAGAATGCCCTGTGCCGGGGCGCTTCGGTAGTGGAATTGATCTCAGCCCGGACTTACCAAGTCCAAGGGCTTGGGCCTAGTGTACACGAACGGCCTGAACGGATGCATGTCAATGTGAGCTCATGTGCATGTGCTGCTGCAGGTCGCCCTCTGTAGTTCAGCAGGGATATGCCTATGCAGCAAAAAGACGTTGCCCTACGACTTTGTTGGGTGAACATGCGCCGCACAGTCTCACCGTTGCCTGAATCTCATTCAGGCATCGTCGGGTATGCACCTCCTCTGCTGTTTACGGCGACTGGGGTGCGTTAAGGGGCTTAGGACAACGAGTCCAGGAGTTCTTCGGGTAAAGCCCCGATTGAAGGTTGATAGGACCGGAACCTTATCAAGGAACCCCTCTGTCGTAGTCACGCTCTCAACATTCATGGATTCTCCAACTTGGAGCTGTGAGCCTAGAGAGATGGGATTTTCCTGATCAGGTTCCTGTTGCAGTACTAGCCTCGTCCATGCGGCCGTTGCTTCAAAAGCACATCAACCAGAGCAGTCGCGCGGCGAAGCGCTCTCCAGCGGAGTTGCCGAAGAATGCAGTCGGGGGCGGGGCTGCCATGTATTACGGTCTGCATCGGGGTTACTGCCATGCGTGTCTTGGCATTGGCTCGAGAGTGCGGGGAAAACTAAGAAAAGCAGCCCACAACAGCAGCACACCTGCACTCAAAACTTAAACAACACTGATGAGTTACAACGATCATGACTGTAGCGGCGCAAGAATGCACGGTCATCAGCATCATACCCTTAACCAATATGAGTTGCTCATCATTGTGGTGGCGACACCGCTCGGCATCAGATGATATAATTCCTAAAATAATCCTGAACAGGCACAAGAGCAGGAGTCTTGCGACATTCGCAGTAGCATGCACTCAGAGCACCTCAGCATCAGAGCATCTCGTCTCACAGTTGCAAACTCGCCCATGGCGCAGAGCTAGATCGGTGGGCCCACGGGTAGCAGGTCGGGGCCTTGCATCCGAACTGACGTTTTTTACGATCTCCGCCCAAGGCAAAGTGTCAGACTCCCGCCGCGAGCTGTCACCATGCCGAACAAGAAGACGCCGGTGACTCGGGGTTCTGTTCATTCTCACTGTAGCGTTGCTGTAAGCAAACAGCTGTGAGTAGCCATCGCACTTCCTGGCCCGAGTCTTGGTGTTGAATGGATTACGGATATATAGCCGAGTGCGTCAGGGATCCTTTCCGGCTGGATTTTCGTGTCAGGGTGCATGTTGCCGGCCCGGCTAGTTTCCTATGCCGGTGTCCGAGTAGCACGGAAGAAGGCCCCCCGAGAAGGAGCGGCGCAGAAGGAGCCTCTCCCAGGCCCCCGTTACGATGCGAAGCTCTTCCGAGGAAGAGGGGGAGCTGCTGGAGAAAAGTTGTAGTACTCTACTGTTGACTAGAGTTGTAGTGCTCTTTTATCTCCGCGCCATGTACAAGAGAAGCTTGCAGGATCAGGACCCTGAGCCACGTAACAGGTATGTGGCGAAGACGGTCGCAGACGGCAGACAAAGTGGCCGTGTTTTTGGGTTTTCCGTGAGGGGTGGAGCTGACATCTCTCACGTCTCTTGTCTTTGTAGAGTCGTGCGGCTGTGGGGTCGATTTCTGCCCAGGAAGAAGGGCAAAGATCGCCTGGACAAGCTCTGGGCCCAGCATTTCCAGCTTCTGCCTTACAGTGATTTCATGCGAGCTACTCGCTTCCCAGGTTCTACCACTTGGCAAAGGACCAGGGCTATCGGGCACGTTCTGCCTTCAAGCTGATCCAGCTGGCCGGAAGCCAAACAAATTCGGTTTCTGTTGGGTTCCTTTTTCCGATGCCTCCTCGAGGCCAAGAAGTTCGACTTCCTGTCCAAGTCCCGGGCACGGAGCTCGAGATCTCAAGACAAAGACTCCCCCTGCACCCGCAGAAAGCAATCCAAGAGCACCTTCTTGAGGTCTGCCTCGACCTTTGCGCGGCACCCGGCGGCTGGTCGCAGGTAGCACAGCGGAACATGCCCGCCCGGCTCCCAACAAAGGGAGGGGACTACGGGACCCACCACCGCCTCTTGCCTCGTGTCCCGTCGATCCATGGCCATTCTCAGACGTAGCACCCGCGACCAGGTTGGTTCGCAGATCATCGCCATCGACTTGGCGCGAAGCCCTGCTGCTCCTGCGGATCGGATGTTGCTCCCGATGCTCCTTTCGAGGCTCCCATTAAGCCCATGCCCGGTGTGACCTGCATACAATCGGACATCACCACCGAGAAGCCGGGGGGCCCTTCTTTTGCCTTCTTCCGCCAGTTCTGAGAGTGGTTCCTTTTTTTGCTGCCTTCGCTCGGAGGTGCCGGAGCTTGGTGCGCAAGGAGCTGAAGGGCGGCCGGGCCGACGTGGTCCTCCACGACGGAGCGCCCAACGTAGGCCCCGGGGCCGTGCCGGAATGGGGCATGGGGTGGGATGGGACGCTGAGAACTCGCGGCGCCGCCCTGATGTCCGCCCTGATGCAAGGCAGCTCCTGGTCCAAGGACGCCTTCAGCCAAGCGGAGTCCCTTGCCGAGCGAGAAACGGGGAGGGGAAACGGTCAAACGCCTCCTTAGCCTCCTCTGGGCCACGTTTAAAGGGTGTCTGAGAGGCTCACGCTGCACTCGCTGCGCCTCGCCTGCCAGGGCCCCCGGTCCGCGGTTCGGTCCGAGCGGAAGCGCAAGCGCTGCCGAGGCGACTTCCTGAAAGCCGGCGGCAGCTTCGTGACGAAGGCGTGACCGCTCTGTGCCGCCGTGGCTTTCTCCGTGACGTCAAAGGGCGGCGGTGCGGCGGTGACCTCTCTCGAGAGAGGTCTTCCGATCGGCCGACTACAACTCCTTGCTTTGGGTCTTCAACCAGCTCTTCAACAAGGCGCTTAGAGCGGAGTCTTTCCGTAAAGTTCCGCATATCGGGCCTTCCTCGCAGGTGGATGCCACGAAGCCCACGGCGTCGCGGAACGTCTCCGCCGAGATCTTCGTAATGTGCATCGGACTGGAGCCCCAGTGGGGGTTTAGGGCTCTTGGGAGGGCTCTTAGACAGGTTGATCGGGCCGGGCGCTGAGGCTTCAAGGCGGGCAAGATCGACCCGCGCTTCTTCGACACCAAGTGGGAGACCCGAGTTACGTGGCATGGGCACTCGCAGAGTGGGAGTCGATAGCCAAAACGACGAGCAACGAAAGGGAAGGCAAAGGAAAGAACAGAAGTCCGACCTCTTTCGTGTTGCAGATTTCCGCCGGGCACATTGCGTGTGGGGTCTAACACGTTTCGGAGCGGGGACAGGCAGGTGTTAACTGAGCGACTTCCATGCTGCGAGTTGAGCTGAAACAATCCAGGGCAACCTGCATTTCGTTGTGCTTCTAGAACCTGCCCCGCATCCTCCGCCGTCCGCCTCCTCCCCGGCCTCCTCGTATCATCGTTGGTCGTACCATACCTTGTACGTATACTGCTACTTGCACACCCAATCTTACGACTGCTTAGCATGGCCACACCGTAGCGGGTGCAGGGTAACATGCTATACGTGCCAATTAAGCATGGTCCATGTTGCAATTTCCGGTATGTGGATGGCAGTTCGACCTCTCAAGTTGCATGGACCTGGGGAGCTTGGGACCCCTTTCGTGTTGCAGTTTGGGCCGTTGACCTCGTGTCTTGTGTGATACCGAAGCAGAGCCGAAGACCTCTTTCATAGCGTGGGCTGGAGACACTGCGTGAGTTTCAGGGCCCTGAAACGCTTGGCCCCTTTCGTGTTGCAGCTTGTGCCGGCATCCTGACACTTTCGGCAGCAGTTTTATGCTGAGGTTTGTTACAGATTTGAAGGGAAATGGGGTTTAAGGCAGTTTAGGGTTACCTTATCTTGGGGGTTGCATTTTCAGGTTTTAGGGCTCGAGCCCTCAAGCTTCGACCCTGGAATCGCACGAAATGAAATCCTCTGCATGCAACTCCCGAAACAAGTCATGGAAGTCTCCACGGGAAGCGTGGCTCAACTCCTGGAAGCTTCCAACCCAAGCTAACACCAATGCTCATGACACATGAGCTTGAAAGAGGTTGACAGCGGAATGCCTGGATAGATTAGGGGTTGATGGCAAAGGGTAAAGGAGCATGCCAAATTTTGTTTTAGATAGGGATTGTCAGGCAACACAATGCCCTCAGGAACCGTTCTGGATCGTGTTTAGCACTTATTGGAAGAACGTGATGTAAACACCTTTATTCACTTGTCGTCAAATTACCAAATCAACACCAAGTACAGTTGGATGAAGCCCAACCTCTTTTGGACAGCAATAGAAAGGCCAATGCCAGAGGTGGGAATTCCAACTTTAAGATGCCATGGCCATGGCCCCCAGCAGCTTCTACATGCAGTAAGGGACATTGCATGTGGCCAATGCACTCCGACCCCGAAAACTGAGCGTCCTCAAAAGCTTTGACCCCTTTTGTGTTGCCGTTCGGGCTGGGAAGTTTGCTTGTCTTTCGCCATGTTCAGTTCAAGTTTTTGACCTGTTTCGCCTTACAGTTCGGGCCGGGGCACAGCTTGCGCAGGTTTGGGATGTCGGGCGCTTTACGAGTGTTTTGGGACGCTGAGCACCTTGCATGGTGTTTTTGTTGTGCCTTCGCGTTGCATGTGCCCGACCCCGGTGAAGGTTTGCTAATCAGCCGGACGCAAATGAGGAATGACAGCATCACTGGCTTAGGGAAGGAGCTCGGCAACAAAGGAGAGGAGCCTTCGGTGAACAAGGAAGGCTCCGAAGTTGTAAGTTGACGAAGGTGGGTCTTCATGGAGAACTTGGAGCCGCTGGCCAAAGACGAAGGTTCCTTGGGGAAGCGGCTTTAGAGCTTTTGGAGCCTCCAGTCTCGAGGAGTCAAGAAGCCCGGTGCCTCGCTCACGGAGTACTTCAAGCAGCTGAAAAAGCGAAAAGCTCGGTGCTCCCATCGCCAAAAGGGTAGCCTCCCCCTCGGCTTTCCTCGTGTCTTTCAGGAAGCATCGGGGTGGCTACGAGGAGGCACAGCCTACTCAAGCCCTCTCAGTGCTCAAACCCAGCCTCCAGCCTCAAGGGGGACGACCGGCGCATCGTTCCAGCGCACGAGTTCGTGGCTGCCGAAAACCCGGTGCTTGCCTCGGTGTGACAGCACTGGGACCCACACGACGTGTAGGCGGCTTGGGGTTGTAAATCGAGGCCGAGGTCCTGATCAAAGCGCACCAGTTGAACCTCGACGCAGCTCGGCCGTGAAGGGCGACATAGGGCGACCAGCACCCGTTCGAACGGGGCAACTTCCGGCCACCTTTGACTCGGAGGCCCCCGGCTCCGAGCCGCTCCGAGGCCATCCGCCAGGGCCTCCCAAGCCGAAGCAAGGGCTGAGAGCAAGCCATGCTAAATGCTGCTCAGCGCCGTGGGAGCCCAGGTTCACCACGCAGGAGATCCGAGACTTCTGCGGCGACCTCAAGGCCCTCTGACCGGTGTGCGCAGTGCCTGAAGCCTGAAGCGCGTGTTCGGTGTTTTTGGTCGTGCCCTTTTCTCGGAGGTGCTCGGGAAGGGGGAGCTGGCGCAGCTCCTCAAGTGGCGCACGAAGCTTCTCCGAGAGCCCGGGAGCCCGGGAACAGCCTCCGCTACGGGCCACGGTGAGTTGGTGAGTTGCCAGTTGCCGTCAGCCGCCGCGCTCGCAGGCAAGAGAAGAAGGAGCGAGAGGCCGTGGCCCTTTCGTGAGGCTCTTCACTGAAAAGCCTTTTTGAGAAGGCACAGAAGAAAGCCAACGAGGATCCCAGCACTTTGGCGTGGCCCCATGCTTCTCCCTGTCTCCCTGCCTGTCTGAAGTCCTTCCAAAGCCCCTGGTTGAGGCGCTCCGGGCCAAAGCCAAGGTCCAGGCCACGCAGGCCACGCATGGCCAAGCAGTGCGCGAGACGCCGAAGGAGCGGAGCCCACGCAGATCGCCCGTGCCGACACCTGCAGGCTGCAGCCAAGAAGGCCGTGGATCGCCGAGCGCCCAGCAAAGCTTGGAAGAGGGGAGACCCGCCGATGCGCGCCCCGCTTTGTGCCGGAAAGGGGGCCTGGCTGCGGACGTGGACGATGCCATCGCCAAGTTCCTCGATGGCGGCGAAGATGCAGAGCTGAAAGGCCAATCTGCCGCGCGGGTTTTTCATGCTTCATGCTTCTTCGCTTGATGGGAGTTGGGCTGGGGCAGGCGCGGCCGCTGCGGCGGCGGAGGAGGCTAGCACTGAGGATGAGGAGGCACCAGTACCAGCGCTAGACTCCTGGGGTCCAAGACTTGGACTGGCTCTCCGCCACTGCCGAAAAGGAGGACGATCGGCTGGAGCAGCAGCTGAAAGACCAGATCGAGAAGCGCCGCAAAGAAGACCGCCTGGGCCCTGGCCAGGGCCATGCAGGGCCCCACCCCAGCCTGCCCCAGGGCGCCCCAGCCTTCCGTCTTCCGTGCAACTGGAAAAACTCTGAGGCAAGGAGGCAAAGCGGATGATGGACCGGCAGCGGAAGCAGGCGCGCGCGGCCGGGCGGCCCCACGGCCCGGCCGCACCCCCCAGCAGCTTCCCTTCTTCCCTTCAGCAGTGGCAGGAGTGGCGGAAGAAGATGAGTTTGGCCACCGGCCGGGGAGCGTGGCACCTGGGGGGCAGTTGCGGTTGCAGGGCTCCTGCCGCGCGAACTCGAACTTGAGAGTGTTCCTTTGCATTTCTCCGCGAGACCCCCGACGATGCCTCCGAGCTCTTCAAAGTCACGGACAGGTCCGTGCAGGCTTTGCGCCTTGCTGAAGCTCCCCAAACTGAAGCACCCCGCCAAGCCATCAGCGTGTCTGATGATCTCTCTTTACTGCTGGCGAGGCTCTGCAGGAGGACTCGGCGCTTCCCGACGATTGCATTAGCGAGGCGCCCTGCACCTCACAGCAACCAAAGCGATTGGCTCCAACTCGGCGCTTTACCGGCCCCGCTGCTGCAGCAATCGGTCACCTCCACGACTCCACGACCTGAGCCGAGTGCGACATTCAAAGCAACAGGGGAGCGCGAGCATCAATCGAATCCCAGGGTTAGAGAGCACAGAGAAAGACAGTACCGCACCGAAGTACGTGCTATCCCGATCTGCAGCAGCTCCGCCCTAGAAAGCCAGAGCACGACGAAGCTCCCAAAAGTCATCCAATTCTTCCCACCATTCTCTCAAGCCAGCAAACAAGTTCATCTCCTGCAATTTCTTAACGAGCAATGAGATTCTGACCCAAAGCCCCTTAATCGTGAACTTAGAAGCCCCCCCACTCGAATCCCACGAAAGCCCCTGAAATCTCTGAACACCCTTAAAGCCTGCAAGCCCCCATAGGCCTCCTGATTGTGCCACCCTTGAAGCCCAGAGAGACCTGAGAGCATTCTTTTTCTGCAGGATCTCTCCGATGAGCCCAAGGAGGTCCAAGAGAGCAGTGACTCCGAAGCCGACGACGAGCCGGGGCCCGTGTTTGGGAGGGGTGGGGTGCTGTCTTTCCGGGATTTTGGAGCCCATGCCGCGAGGATGGACCGGCTGGCGCGGATGGAGGTGGACCTGGCCCAGGGCTCAGCCGCTCGGAGCGAAGCGCCGCGACGCAAGGAAGCGCGCTCGCGGCGAGGCCTTGGACCACGAGCTCCGAAAGGCCGAGCTCCTCCACAAGCCGAAAGCCCGGCCAGCATGAGCGCGAGCGAGATCAGCTGAGACACGTTCTCACTCTCATTCATTCTCATTCTCACTCTCAGAATCCCCATCGTCTTCTGTCTTCTCTCCTTTCGTTTCTCTCTCCCTCTCAGGCATCGCAACTCCACGCAGCGGGCCGCGCGAAAGAAGAAGGAGACTCGACGGCAGCGCGTGATGCAGGCAGGAGTTGCGAACTCGCAGCGCCGTCCAAAGGCCCTAAAGAACTCCGCTCGGCTGCCAGTCTCTGCCAGTCTCTGCCAGTCTCTGGTCCGGCGGGAGGCTTGGGCCGGTGAGCTCACGGCCTTCAACGACGCCTTGCAGGGCGAGGCCAAGGCCCAGGCGGAGACGCGCGGGCGCGCGAGTGCGCGCGCGAGTGCGGAGGTTTCTGTCAAAAGAGTTTCTTAACAGGGAGGGAAGGGAAGTTCAGAAGCCTGCGGAGAGTTTCTGGAGAGACCCTGCGATGGTGAGCCGAGCCGCTGCAGGCGTTGGAGACTGCGGATCAGGATGCCTTGGAAGACGGCTCGGGCTCGGACAGCGAGGAGGACTTGAAGGTGGCTTGCGGCTGGTTGCGGCCGCTTCAGGGGTCCCCGTCTTTTTGGGGCTTTTGGCGAAGACGAAGGCTCTCCGGGACTTTCAAGCGAAGCTGGAAAAGGCGGAGGACAGCGACGCAGAGGGTCGGGGCCCGAAGTCCTGGGATGCTCCGAGAGCCTCTGGGGGGTGTTCAGTTTTCAACCCAATCGAGGCTTGGATGCCGATGCCCTTGCAGCGCTTGCCGAGGGTGCCACAAGCTGACGTGAGCTGTTGAGGGGACACGGGGACACGTCAAGAGGCCCAGACGGGGCGGAGGAGGAGGGCGGCAACCATCCAGTGGAAGACTTTCAAGGCCCTTGGCCCCGTGTCCCTCTGTCGTGCCCGAAGCCGCCATGGCAGGATCCGCTCCCCGCAAGAAGGATGCCAAGGAGAAGCTTCAGAAGGACGACAGCCGACAGCCCGACAGCCCCTGCAAGCAACTTGTTCTAGATGCAAACGGCCCTTGCAGCAGGGCCGCGAGCAGCGCTCGCAGGGCCGCCAGCAGGCCTTGGAAGATGGGGCTGGCGAGACCGCCCTGGTCCCGCACTCGCACTCGCGGAATGCGGCGGGAAGGGAAGGGATCCGATGCTCAGGTGCCCGTGGACGAGGAGGAGGTGACTCGCGGCGAGCACCGGGCCTTCCGTTGGTTTAGTTGGCAGCCGAGCCACTGAGCCAAAAGCCAAAAGCCAAAAGCCAAGCCAAGCAGAGAGGGATCCCGGCCCGCCCAGGTCAGGACATCTTCTCGGGCCTCGCCTCCAAGCCTCGAGGAGCCTAGCAGCGTATCAGTGGAGATCAGCGCAGCAGAGCAGAGACGAGCGGAGACAGAGAGAGAGAGCCTTGCAGAGCCTTGGAGAGCCTTGGAGAGCCTTGGAGTGCTTTGTCGCTCCTCTGCAGGAGCTCAGGAGTTGGAGGAGGCGCTTGCAAGGGTTGGGGCCGGGCGTTGCCGGGTGCTTTGGCAGTTGCGCACCGCGAGTGCCTTTGCTTTTGTTTCCGGGCTCGAGGGAAGGGGACGGCTCTCCAAAGGCCATCTTGCAGCCCGCCTGCGGCGGCCCTTAGAAGACTTCGAGATGCTGCTATCCGTGGCGCTAGCGCTGGCTTGGCGCTGCCTGGCGGCCGAGGCGGCCCCGGTGACCTTCAAGGTTGGTTTCGGTGAGCCCGTGGCTTCCGTTGGGCCGCATCTTGCTGGGAGCTTTCAAGGCTGGGACCCGGCGACGACAAGTCTCGCAGATAGTGATATGAATGGGATTTACGAGGTGACCATGGACTTGGCTCCCGGTTCCTACGAGTTCAAGTTTCTAAACGGCAACTCCTGGGACCAGGCAGAAGCCGTGCCCTCCAGCTGCAGCGAGGCTACTAGCGGCATGATGAACCGCATTGTCGTCGTGGAGGATGCAGACGCACCGCTGGAAGTGCACGTCTGCTTCCAGGAGTGTCTACCCTGTGCTGCACTGCCGGCTTGCAAGATGTTCAACTGCCCGCCTGGCCTCGTGCTCCGGGGAGGCAGGTTGGACGTGCCCGGAGCATCCTCCGCATGCTGTGAGGCCGTGGAGGAAGGGAAGGGTGCCCTTGTTGTGCGCAGCTCGGCCTTCTCCGATGGAAATTGGGCAGAATTCTGGATGAATGGAGTGCTGCTCTACGGCACTGGCACTCGTGGCTTGACAGTTCTGGAGCTGGAAGATGACTTGGTGAAGCATGCTGAAACCTTTGACACTTACCTCAGCTCCAGTGACTTGGAAGGCTACTTGTCCTCTGTGGCGGTGGGTAACTTGGTCTTGATGGGTATCGTCGATGAGGGCTCCGCGCAGCTGAGTGTTGCGGCGAAGGCATTGATCGCCAGCTGCGGAGCCCAAAAGATCGAGGAAGTGGCTTTCAGGAGCTCGTACGCACTCATCGGCCGGAAAGGTGGGTCCGAAGCGCTGTCAGAGGTGGTCCTGCCAGAATTCGCCGGGACGAGTGTTGCAGTTGCGCAGGTGACATTGCAAACTACCACGACGACCACTCTAGCCCCATCGCCCGTATCACCAGTTGCTTTCTGTGACATGAAGGTGGCAGAACCTCCCATGTCGGGGAAGTTGGCGTTGGATGGAAACTTGGAGCTGGATGCTGGATGCCGATTCCGCGTTTGGGAAAGCCCCGAGATCGCCAGCTGCCTAGAGGGGACTTGGGTCGTGGTCACCGGCTCCTCCAACGCCCTCTTGATCTTCAACACGCTTTTAATGCTGCTTGCTCCGGCAGAGGCGGATGTCCAGCGAAGCGGCCGCTTCGGGGGTGCGCATCTTCTGGATGCGGTGGTGGAAGATGGCCAGATCATCCATTATCGAACGGTGCGATCCTCAGAAGCCTCCTGCATCCAGAGCACTCCGACGGGCGGCCAGAACGAGACCGAGTGCAAGCGCATTTATGCCTCTGCCTTGCAGGAGGCTCCCCAGCCCAACGGAAAAAGGGTCCGAGTCACCATGTTCCTGTCCTTCTTCTGGGCGAGGACCGGTACAGCGGTGGATCTCATCGAAGGCGATCAGGCTTGGGCCGGTGCTGATGTGGCGATGGTCGTGCAGGTGGTGGCATGGTACGTGGTCTGCAATGGCATCAAGTTCACAGGATGCCCACGTAGCAACCTTATAGACCTGGAGGAAGGATTGGTGAAGTCCATGTTCGTGGCAGAGATGGGGGCCGTGCTGGATCGAATGACACCTTTCTGCGCGCCAGGGGGTCGTGCCGGACATCGGGGATGTGCTGTTGCCACGAACTCTTGGAGTGATCCCGGTCCCACATTGATGGCGATGTTCCAAGGTTACAACAGTGAGGTCGTTGAGGCCATGCGACCACTGCGTTCGGCCACCTTCCGTTCGGTGGACATCTTCGCGCTGGGGGGCTCCATGCCCGGAGAGACTCTCCAGGGCCACGGAAGTCAGATCTTGCACATTTGGACCTGGCAGGCTTTGCTGGGAGGCTTCTGCTCGGCTGCGTCTGCCACGCCTGGAAGCCAGATTCAGTTCCAGGGGCCCGTTTGCTGGAGACGAGACGCAAGCCTGGACTCCTGCACTGCTTACACCAGAACGGTTTTGTGGCAGTGCATGAACAGCATGCTCTGCAGCCACCGGCTGCTGGACAAGCCCTCCACCACCACCACTGCCAGAAGCGAGACCACGACGACAGAGGGGAATGAGAAGGTCTTCCTTCCAGTCGATGGGGGTGAGAACCGTGCTTGCCGTGGGCAGGCGCCGGGTGACAACAATGCCAGTTACTACACGGTGGTGTCCGGCATAACTTCTTTGGCGGCCTGCCAGAATGAGTGCATCCGCTCGCGAGCGGAGGCCTGCGTTGGCATCGAGCACAGCGGCTCCCGCTGCGAAGTCTGGACACGAAGAGCTGGCATTGGAGCCTCCATTCAGCTCACCGGTTTCACGTGCCTGAGCTACGGAACTGTCACGACGACCACCACGACCAGCACCAGGAGCCTCTCCTCTCTTTTCGAGCCTGTGGACGGTGGAGTAGACCGTGCCTGCCGTGGGGCCTCCATCGGCGACAATGCTCCCGAAAACTATGTGGTAGTTCCAGGTGTGCTGAACCTGGGCGATTGTCAGTACGAGTGCATGCAGGTGGCTACTTGTGTGGGGGTGGAGTACAGCTTGGGCAGATGTGAAGTGTGGACCCGCCCAGAGGGTATTCAGGCCAGCCTGGTACTGAGCGGCTTCACCTGTCAGCGTCTGAAAGCAGCCCGCCTCCGCCGCCTGGAGCAAGTCCTTTTTCCCTGACTTAGACTTAGACAGACTTAGACGCTTTGGTCTCAAATTGCGGCAGAAGGAGGAACTCCTTCGCCTAAGCTAGCCACCGAAGGTGGCGTGCAAACACCTTTCCGGCCCTGCCAGAAACGAGACACCAGAGTCCTAGTGAGAGATAGTGAGATGATAGGAAGGTGCGACGAGACCGAGTTCCTCGGTTCCTCGGCAGTGGCCCCGCACCTCTCAGACTCCTTCGCACAGATCTCTTTTTTTCTCAGCCACAAAAGGAGGGCCGAGCCCTGTTGGCAAGCGATGCTCCATCGCCTGGCACGGGCCCCTTTGTTGCATGGGCACCAAGATCCCATGCTTGCGTTTCCGGCACAAGTACACCAGTAACAATGTAGATGCCACCCCTCAGACTCTGGTTGCTTCGTGAAGTCACTTTACAGAGCCTTGAATCGCTAGAGATTCTGCGGGCGGCCGCTTACAGGGAGCTGTGACACGGGGACTGCCAGAAGTGGGTCTCCAGCTCGCAGGGCCTAGGCCAATTGAGGCGCGGCTCACCAAGTAGCTCGCGCCGAGACCAAACTCCTCACGAGCGCAGCAAAGCCGCAGAAGGGCCGCCTTGTGCCGTGTGTGCCTTGTCGCTGCAGCCTTCGAAAGCTAGCCGCTGCTGGCCGCTAGCGCAGCCGCCAGAGACGAGATCGCTTTGGCCAGGCGGGCTCGGGCTCCGGCTCCGAAGGCGAAGGATCCGGAGGGCAGGCTCCGCGCCTCGCTCCGCCTCGCATGGCGCTCCTCCCTTCCCGCCTCTCAGCTCTCTCTCCGCTCTCCTCACGGCTGGGCGCCTGTGGTGTCAGATGCGGGAGCTCAGCGACGCGCAGCTCCCGAAGCTGCCGCTCGGCCAGAGAGCTCCGCATAAGCCTTTCTCGCAGAGAGAGAGAGAGAGAGAGAGAGAGAGAGAGATAGAGCTGTGCCAGCAAGCAGGAGAGAGAAAGAGAGAGAGAGAGAGGCAGAGGCAGAGGCAGAGGCAGAGGCAGAGGCAGAGGCAGAGGCAGAGGCAGAGGCGGAGGGACGGAGGCCAGCTGACTATTAAGCGCGTCTATCTCTCTCTCCCAAGGCCACTGACCGACAAGGCAAGGGAAAGCTGGGATCAGAGAGCTGGTGCCAAGTGAAGCTGCGCGCCGTCTCCGTCTCCGCTGTGAGGAGAAGCGAAAGATCAAGCGGAAGAAGGACATGGAGCGCCTGGAAAAGCCGCCGCCTCTGAGTCGACGTATACGTATACGTCTCCAGAAGTGCAGCGCCCTTTTCTGTGTCTTTTGTGGTGAGCCGGAGGCTTGGGATCAAGCCCAAGAGCAAGCAGAAGGAGGAGGAGAAGGGCAGCCTGGAGGCGCGCCGCGGCGCAGGGAACGCGACAAAAATCGCGCGGCGGGGGCCGGGATGACAGTGACAGCCGAGGTCGCTCCCCTGGAGGCTCCCAAGTCGCCGGAGCCCCAGGTCGAAGGAAAACTCTTGAAGAGAGGGCGGCCTCTGAGCCTTGGGAGGATCGTGTCCAGCGGGTTCAGCAAGCCTTCGGACCCCCGGGAGCTTGCCCGGCAACCCAAGCTTCGCGGGAAGCTTCGCGCCTTTCCAAGCAGCGGTCGTGAGAAGAGGCCGAGACCATGGCGCTGGGCTCTCTGCTCGTGGAGTCCAAGAAGTCCAGGCGCTCCGAGAGAGAGCTCTGCTCTCTCAGGCCTGAAAAGAGCCTTCTCTTCAGTTCTTCTCTTCCGAGGATGGAGCTGCTGGATGCAGCCTACAATCGCCCTGAGCTCGCGGTGTGCGTTGAGGGGATCCCTCTGAGGATGATGTGTCCCAGGCTGGACCTTCGATCCCAACGAGGCCTTGCCGGTCTGGTTCACCGAGGAGGAGGAGAAGTACAACAAGCGCCGCGGCCAAGACCAAGCAGAAGAGCGGATACCCACGAGCCGATGCCAGGCTTTGCGCTCGTCCCCCTGAGGCCTGAGTTGCCCATCTCGAAGGAGGCCATGGCCCAGCCAGAGGCCCAGCCGGTGCTCTTGGCAAAGCGTGAGGAATCGTGTTGGGGGCCTTTTTTTCCGAGGTTCCGGGCCAAGCTGCGGGAGATCAATGCCAGGCTCATCCCGAATTCCACACGCAGAGCGCGGTGCTGGCGCCGCGTGCGGCATGTGCTGCGGCTTTGCGGCTTTGCAGGCCTATTCGAAAGGTCGCCGAGGAGCCTCGGCCAAGTCCTCTGCTCAGCTTCGCGCGAGCTCTACCGCTGGCAGGCACGGGCTCGGAAGAAGCGGCGCCTGTCCAAGAAGCTCGAGAAGCTTGGGGCCAAGGTTAGCATAACGTTGCTTTCGCCGGTTCGCATGCGAACTCCTCTCCTCGCGGGTCAGCGATGCTAAGGCTGCGATCCACGGCCATGCCGAAAGCTAAGAAAGAGCCGCCGCGCCGCCGCGGCGCCGCGTTTCCCTTTTTTCATCCTTCTCTGGCTCAGGGCTCTGTTTGAGACGACAGACATGAGCGAGACAGCCAAGGCCATCTCATCCTTCGCGGTGCATTGGCTACACGTGTCGTGCGGGTCGTCGTGCGGGTGCGCTGCGCGGGTGCGATGCCAAAAGGCGCGACAGATGCGGAAGGCGGTGAACAAGCTCGCCGGCTCCTCACGGCGTCGTGTCAACTCGCCACGTCTACGCTGTGGAATCACAAGAGTTTAGTATACGACCGCGCACTAGCCTTGTCAGGGTGCCCGTTGTTGTGCTCTGCGGTCGTTTAGTAAGTCTCAGTTGCAACCCCAAGCGTGCACGATGTTTTCAACACACTTCGAGGCGAAGCAGGACCAGCGAAAGGTCACGACGGTGGCCATCAAGAAGGGAGGAGGAGGACACCGCCTTGACAAGAAGGCGCCACGGGCTGGCGCGTTGCTGCTTTGTTGTTGCCTTGTGTTCTACACGGACACAGGCACCGAAGGGTGCCAAGGTGAAGGTGGTGGACAGGAGGCAGCTCGGAAGATTGGCTTATAAGTGCAGCTTAAGAAGTGCTGAAGCGCCGCCGAGGATGAAAGCAGATCTTCGTGGCCAGAAGAAGGCAAGGCGGTAAGTCCAGGGAAGCGCCATGTGGCAATGACGAAATATCGCAGCCTCTGCGGCCCAAGATGCTGGCATCGAGGGGCCTTAGCGTTAGCGCCCTTCCAGGACTCATCTATTTCTATCTCCGTGTCACTGAGCGCGCGCGCCATGAACGGAAGCCAGTTCACCATCGCGAGCTGCCCTCGCTGCCCTCGGTGCCTGGCACCGCTGCAGAGCCTGGCTGAGAGCAGTCACAGTAATACAGCTGCTGCTCCAAGTCCAAGTGCGAGGGAGGAGAAGCGCTCGCGATCTCCCCAGCAGAAGCAGCCGCAGCCGCAGCCGCCTTCGGGGCCCGGGGGCCTCCTCCTGAAGGCGGGCTGCGACCGCTGCTTTCTGCACCCGGGCCTCTACGCGCTGGCGCGGCTCTGCGCCGCCTGGCGGGAGGCCCCCGCCGACCGGGCGGCAGTTTTTGCAGCTTCTGTAGTGAAGCTTGGTTTTCGGGTCTCTAAAGGGGGACGGGACTGAGGGGAGCATCTGTTGCAGCTCGCCAGGAGGGGATCTCCGAGAGCACGCTCTTGCACCAGAAGCGGCGTCTGCTGGCGCAGCTGAGCAGCGAAAGAACGTCCTCGAAGCACTCGGAGACTTCAAAGACCTGATGGCCGCCGAGTTTCCCACGTCGGAGCCGGGCGGAGCCTCGAGAGCGCTTGAACTTCTGGTCTCGCCAGCTCTCAGATTTCTGGGTAGCAGCGGGATTTCGCGGATTTTGGTCGGCGTCTACTCGCGAGCAGGCCCAGGGCGCGATCCGTTTAAGATGCGCTGTGCCACCACGCCCTCCGGCCACTAGGAGCCCTTGTGGAGACTTGGAAGAACTCTGCGGCCAAGAGCAGGCAGCACGAGGAGCAAAGCTTGGGCAGCTGCCGGGTTGCAGCGCTGAAGATCATCGAAGAGGAGGGTGCGTGGTGCCCACGCAAGCGTGTCGAAGAGGCGCGATTCTTTGGGCGGCTGTTGAACGCTGCTAAAGCAGCAGTGGGGGTCTGTCCGAGATCTGGCGGGCCCTGTCAAAGCAGACCATTCGCAGAGCCAGCGATGTAAAGCGACGAAGATGGCAGTTAGGTTGGGGGCATCTTTGGAACACGTGTTTCAGATTCCAGTTGCAGTTTGAAGCGCCCTAGAGTCCTGGAGTTGCAGAGCATCGCAGAGTGCAGGCGCAGAAGAGGAATCCTGGCCGATTCAAGGCCGGAGCTTCCGTTGCGGGCCGGGTTGCGAGCCGCGACAACTAGCTTCGCTGTTACGACCCGCCGGTGAAGAACAAGCCTCCGTCGAAACCTCAGACGCTTGTTTGGATGTGCTTCTGAAGCTTCGCAAATAGCATCATGAGTCAACTTGGGGTGGCCATGCCTCTGCCCCCCTACCCCTACCCCTCCCCGATGCCTCTGGGTCAGAAGGCGGAGCTCGAAAGCGAAACCGTGCAAGCCAGCAGGGGCAGAGTGGATGGGTCCAGTGCTCATGATGCTGGGCCCCTTTTGTCCTGGTCTGGTCCACAGGGGTGTACGAATCCCGAGGCCGCTCGGTTGAGAGTGCTGCAAGCCCGACTGACATGAACACCTACTCCCGTACTGTATGGACCCATGTCTTTGTCGATGTCGCAGATGAACAGTTGCAAACCTTTGCCTGGATAAGCACGGCATGCCGGATTCCAAACCTTCGCTTTTGCGTGTACACCATCTTCGCATTTCTCATGGTTGCTGCCCTTCATCGCGGCTCCGTGCCAGTTGCAGCAGCGGAAGATGCAGCAGAAGATCAACAAAGGGAAGAGGCCTGCCATGTCGAATCGCCGCGAGACCACTGCGTTCGGTCGATATGGAAGGAGAGGCAAGGGGGACAAGGGCGACAAGAAAGGCCGAGACAGATTGCATGGCGACTTGCTTCCTAAATCCTTCCCCGTTTGAGCAAAGGGTTCCGGGCAGCCAGTCGGGAACATAGCCCAACAAGCTGATTGTATCATAGCTTTCAGCATAGAAGCCTGTAGCGCAGAACTCTCTGGAAGCTTAGCAGCTTCTTTCGGCAGGGCGTCTGGATTTTGTCCTTGAAAGGCAAGCGCCAGCGTACGGGTGGAGCTGAGTAGACGGAGCCGCAATCCCGCTCTGCACGGGACCAGGTGCCAGTCCCCGCGCCCCCACAGTGTTGTAGAGTCATTAGTGACAGTGTTTGAGTTGACTGCTCTTAGAGATGCTGTTGCTGGCACCTGGCCACCCGGATCGTTAACGAACGCCACAGGCAACTTCCGTTTCACCCTACCTGCCTCGCCAGCATTGCGCGTAAACGGCGAGGAATGCAGGATGGAAAAGCTCGTAGATGCTGCTGCGAATGTCCGTGCACGAGGATGTTGTGGTTTGGGTCCAGGGTGTAGCGCTTCTGAAATTCTGGTGGGGATCGAGACAGTGCTTAAGTTACAGCAAGCTTTAGGGTTTTGCAGATGTACCAGTTGGATATGAAATGATCCACGCCACTGCTCGAATGTAGGGAAGGCTACGAGTTCAAAGCCCTTGAGTCATGGATGCTTGTGTAAAGCTTGAAGCATCTAGCAGAGGAAACAGTCAGCGATCACTTGTACATCTAACGCTTGACAGTCTCTGCAAAGCACTTTCACAGATGTTCGGTGTGCGGTAAAAACAAGCCTCAATTCGCCCGCGGTGCTTTCAGGATGGATATTTAAATGGCCACTGGTTCTGCCCCAGAGCACTCAGCAGAAAGTGCTCAGCAGGTTATGAGCGCCCAAATCGCTCAGCAGACTTCGCGTGAAAGTTCTGTTTCAGGGCTAGCCAATGGGGTTCAGCCGTTGTCAACTGGAACAGGGAATGCCAACCTCGCCTCGGAGACTGGAGTGAGAGGCGGGATCCAGAGTGGAGTGGACCCTGCTGTGCCAGCGGCGAGGACAGAAGCGCAGCCTCTGTCGGGAATCTTGGAGCCTGCATCTGGGCCTGAGCAGGCCGGACGATCGAGCGTTCAGACGACTCTGGACCCAGGCAGTGGACCTCTCCCGGCAACCGAGAATGCGCCAAGGCCTTCAGTGACTTCGAATGATTTTCTTACGCCACGCTCGGTGGCGGCACAGGGCCAGCCGTCGTGGTTGAGCTCTGTAGAGTGGCCAAGATGGATGACACGACTGGGGTCGTATGTGGGGCCAGTGGCGTCGGATTTGCTGCCAAGTCCGTTGCCAAGCCATCCCACGCCACCAGGTGGACATGTGTTCACACTTCGGTCGCCGGTCAGGCAGTGTTCGACACAAAGACCGGTCACCCCCCCGAGCAGCTCGTCGATACCAGCTGAAGCAATACAACAAGAAGTACAGAGACAGCTGGGTGGGCTGCTTACGTACGAGGTTGGATGATGCGGAAGCAAGGAATGCTCAGCTGTCAAGAGATCTTGAGACGGCTCGAGCTGACGCGGAAGAGACTCGAGCGAGACTCCTGCAGCAGCGAGAGGAAGATCGAGGGAGACCAATTGCTTTGCGACAACCTGAGGTTTCCAATGATCCACTACGCTATGGAGAATTCCCAAGTGCTCCCCTACTTCTACCACTGGGTCCTAGTGATCGTTTAGGTCCCGGTGGGTCACTGGGTGATCCGCAACCACTACCTGGAGGTGCTGCTGATCCATCAGGTCTTGGAGGGTTACGCAGCGCTTTAGGAGGCCTACCAGGGACTTCGGGAGATCCATTAGGCTATAGAGGGCAATTGGGGGCTCCGCGACCACTACGTGAAGGTGATACTGTTCCGTTGGGTCTCGGTGTACAAAGTAGAGTTCAAGCAAGTGTACCTGGAGGTTTGGGAGAACAACTAGGCCTTGGAGGGCTTTTTGGTGCTCCACCAAGTCTACCCGGAGGCTCTACAGCACAGCAGCAACAACCGAGGACCACGGCGGCTCCATCGGCGACGCCCTTGACGGAGCAGGCACCGCCTCAGCAGAGTGATGGGATACCAGCAGGCAGTTCGGCGGGATTCCTACGGGGTTTGATGGGTGGAAGCCGAGGTAGAAGTCCTACACCTCCTCCCCCTCAAGATCGTCCCGCTCCAGAATCACCAATGCTAGAAACCATCGCGAAAGGGATGAAGCAGCTTCAGGAACTCCAGGCTCAGGCTATGTCCCGTACCTCAGCTACTACAAGCGAGACGGTGAAACCAGGAACCGCGACCTTGGCAGAGCTTCCGGATGTCAGTGGAGGATCTCAGTCAGCGCTTCTGTTTCAGGACTGGATTGAAGTGGCGTCTTCTGTGATGGGGGATGTTTCGGAGCAGTCAGGTGCCTGGTGGAGGTCGGTGATGCTTCTTGTGGAGAGTGCCTATGTGAGATGGTTGAATGCTACACCGTTGGAGCGTTTGTCAATAGGCCCAGAGGGAACTGAAGATCTTGTTGGTTCTCGGTGGGCGCGGCTCAATGCTCGCGTAACCTCAATGTTGCTGGCAGCGATGAGTGCGGAACTGAAGGCGGATATGCTGTCGCAGCGGATCAGCCAGAATGCTCCCAAGATGGTTTTCCGGTTGTTTACATGGTATCAACCTGGGGGTCAGCTGAAAGGCAAGAGGTATTGAGGAGACTACAAACGCCTCAGGACTATGTGCAGGGCGACAGTGTCCAGGACGCCTTGAAGGAGATCCGTGGATGGCCAAGATGGCTAGCGAGATGTTCCAATATGGGGATGGTCCCACCGGACCCTTCGGTTATGGCTCGCGGCTTGCACAGTGTTTCGCAGAAGCACATATCGGCTTCTCAGGACTCGGCTTTCAGGACGGCAATGTTGAGAACCACACTTCGGTTGGATGGTCAGCCGTCACTGGAACAGGTGCGCTCCTACCAGCGCCACTTGCAAGCTGAGTTGGAGAACCTATCAGCTGCTATACCGGCAACGATTATGACGGCTCCCCAGGCTAGGGCAGTGGAGGGACCCTCGTCGCCGACCTCACCTACTACGTCCACTAAGGGCAGCGGGAAACAGAAGGACAAAAATGGGGACTTGTGTCGCTACTTTGCCAAACCGTCTGGATGTAAAAGAGGGGACCGCTGTACCTACTCACACAGCATGCAGTTGATGGATCGCGACCTGCGCTCCAGGAAGTGCCTGAGGTGCGGGAGTGAAGCTCATCGTGCTAAGGACTGCAATGTGGGGAAGAGTGCTCCAAAAGGAAGCCCAACGACACCAGCCGCACGGCAAGGAGAGCCAGTAGGCGGAAGGGAACCAGGCGTTTCTTCGGTGAGCACAGCGTCTTCTACCATGAACGGCGGAGATGTCCCAATACAGGGAGTTCCATGGACCATGGAGAGCTTGATGCAAGCGGCCCAGCAGGTGATCCAGAACCACGTGGTGCCAGCGTCGGGGGATTCGTCTCCTGAGAAGACCAAGCCTCAGCTCCGAGTTCTTTCTATCCGGGACATCAGAGTTTCGTCGGTGAACGACTCAACCTCAACCTTGCTGGACTCAGGAGCAACTCACTGCTTGCGAAGTGCTGTGGACAATCGGGAGTGGGAGGAGGCGGAAGAGGTCCTGGTGAGGCTTGCAGCAGACAGGTCCTTGACCATGAGGTTGAGTTCGGGTGGCTCGCTTTTGATGCCCCCTAAGGTCTCCAGCGCTACGTCCTCTACAACAAGTACGGGAGCTCAGACTATAGTTCCCCTTGGAGAGCTGGTTAGGACACTGGGCTACACCCTGACTTGGTCACCTCAGGGATGCAAGTTGCGTGATGAGTCGGGTGTGGAGCGGAACCTGAAGGTCTCTGGAGGTTGTCCCCTACTACAAGAAGCGGAGGCTTTGGCGATGATCTCAAGGCTCGAGGACAAGAAGCGAGAGCTACTAGAAAACCAAGCGGTGGCTACTATGGACATGGTCTCGCTAGCAGCCGTGAAGATGGAGATGTCGTGGAGGAATCACTTGGAGGATTACATCACCAAGGGCTCCCTGGAGGCCGGGCTACGGGCATTGAGAGACACTCCGTTCCTACAGGATGTTCCGGGCGAGTGTGTTGATGGATTGGTTCAGCCGGGACTTCACCAAAAGGGATGGAAGGTGATGAAGGACGTTGACTTTCTCACGAGGCCACAGAAAAGATACCTTTGGGGAGCGCGCAAGTGGATTGTACATCTATGTGCGGGGAATCCAGGTCACTATGAGTTCTTCCGGCTTGATGATGGCCACACAGCAGTGTTGGAGGTGGACTTGGACCGATGCCGAGGTCAAGATGTGATGAGAACTTCTACGTGGAAACTCCTCCTTTGGGGCGCGGTCACGGGGAGAATAGACTCCATCGTGGGAGGACCACCAGGTCGAGGCGCCTACCTCAACCACGTGAACAAGCACGAGGCCAAGGACTTGAAGAGTTTGTCCGTGATCACGAGGATGTTGTGGCTGTATACGGTGGCCACGACTGCTCGGGAGGCGTGTTAGCATCATGGACGTCCAGTTGGCTTTGTTCTAGAGCATCCTGCAGAGGAAGTTCGAGGAGAGCAAGCTCTATGGAGGACGTCGTTGTGGGAGGAGTTCCAGGAAGAGACGGGAATGTCAAAGGTCACGTTTGATCAAAAGAGCATGGGTGCGACCACAACGTCATTGACTACTTTGGGAACCAACATCTACTACCTGATGGGCCTTGACGGGGTGGGTCGAGATCAAGTCCAGGCCAGCGAGGACCAGTGCGTGGATCGAAAGAATGGTGTATGGTCTTCGGGCTTAGTGAATGCGTTGGTGATGGCCCTTCGCTTCTGGAATACTCGCCCCAGGTGCTGTCCTTCGATCAGGGCTATGTCGGCGGAGCAATGGAAGCAGCATGTTCAATCGGGGCATGCAAACTACCACCGGGATTGCCTCACCTGCGTAACATCCCGGGGAACAGGGAGAAGACATGCTCGGGTACGGCGCCCGGATTCTTTCACCCTCACGATTGACCTGGCCGGACCAGTGAAACCCGGTTTGGATGTTACGTCAAAAGTCGTGGGCTGAAGTACCTCTTCGTTGCTCGGTATGTGTTCCCCCGAGAGTTTGCCAAGGCGTACTCGGGTCGCACGCCTCCAGACGATGACGGTCTACAAGATCCACATGAGGCGGAGGACCTACAAGGGAGTGGCGACGGCGAGGGCAAGGCACTTGCGGGACCTTCTCTACTACCACCGGGTGAAGATAGGGAGAGGACGGCTGCGGGTGACGGTGACCCAGTAAGTCACCGTGATGGCGAGGAACTTGCAGGACCTTCTCGACTACTACCGGGTGAAGAAAGGGATCCGTTTAGTGTTTGCGAAGATGAGCCAAGTGAGCAGGGTCCAGCATGCGATGAAGATGAGCCAAGTGAGCAGGGTCGTCAATCGTCGTATGAAGAAGAGGTGGACAGTGGACAGAGATCTCATGGGCTTTGCAGGGGGATCGCAAGGGCAAAAACAAGCTTATGAGGCCGAGGAGGAGCTCGACTATGAACCGTCTGTACTAGAAGGTGATCCATGAAAACCCGAAGCAAAGCTCATCCAGACTGTGAAGCCCCAGCGATGACGCATCTACAGTTTGCACGAGCGCTACCCAACAATGGAAACTCAAGGCAATGGTCAAGCGGAGGCAAGCGTGAGATGGGTTAAGGACAGGGCAAGAACCTTGTTGACAGCATCTTCATTACCAGTTCGGTTGTGGCCTACGGCGGTAGAGGCAGCTACAGCGAGTCAGAGGGCAAAGGTATTGGGGTGGAAGCACAAGATGTTGGCTCCGCATGGCTCGGTTGTGCATGTGAAGCAGAAGGCTTGTGACTCTAGTGGTCCGAGGAGAAGGGAGCGTGCCTTTGAGTCAAAGTGGTTTCGAGGGCTTTATGTCGGACTCAGCAATATCCTCGACAACGGCCATGTGATCTTCGTCCCAGGCACCAAGGACACCAAGGAGAAGTTTGTGCATACACTTCATGCCAGAAAGAAGCTGGTGGACCCAGGTCCGCCAATGGACGAGGTGGTTGTGGATGTTCCCAAACCCAGGAGGAGACTTGCACAGAAGACACCACTCGAGGATGTGGAGATGCGGGCCCTCAAGTTAAGCAACAGCGACCTTGAGGAGTACATGCGGTCCCGTTCGAGTATCTTGCTTGCTGACTGGGATCAGGAGCAGGCCACCCGCTTTGTTGATGAGCTAGCAGAGCACAACTTCTTTGAGGATCACAAGTTTGGAGTCTTTAGACATGGAGGAAGTGTTGGGTGGCTACGAGGCCTAGGAGAATATCCTGAACTTTCTAGGCTTTTGAGCAAGTTGATCCTACATTCCAGCCCGGAGGCGACTTTTACAGCTATCCAGGTCGCCCGGAACATGGACAAGGGGATGCACCGCGACTTTAACAACGACGAGCGCGCAGTGAACTATGTGTACCCAATCAGAGTTCCACGTCAAGGGGGTGACCTATGGGTTGAGTTGTGCAAGGGTGATGCGGTGAAGGGCGAGATCGTGGAGCGTGCGGACGATCGTGGGAAGAGACTCTACGGTCAAGTTCATAAGATGAGATATGGTGTAACTACGGTGTTTTCGGTCCCACTGTCCCAAATGCCAGACTACTTCGTACCGGAGGGAGTGGAGTTGAGCGCCTTGCAGGTTTCGAAACCAGCTGAGGAGAAGAAGGAGTTCATCGAGGCGAACTATGTGGACGACATGGCCGAGACCGACCTCGAGGATTGGGACATGTTTGTGGAGGCAGAAGACGGCCTAGTGAAGGTGGGAGCTAGTGAGGAGTTCAGATCAGGAGGAGCTGGCCCTACAGAAGGTGGAAGTTACGTACGCAAAGAATGTGGAGGAGATCCTCCGCAACTTGGGCAGTCCGCTTGAGGTGACGTACACGGTAGACCCGCGAGAAGTACAGCAAAATATTGAGCTGTGGCGCTCGGCCATCGAGCGTGAAGTGGCGAGTGTGGCGGTAGCAATATGTAAGCTTCTCCCGGGAACGCCGCAGAGAGCTGAGTGGATGCGAAGACCAGGTGCTCAGAAGCTCCCCACTAAACTGGTTTTTACAGTGAAGCCGGGTAGCAACCCGGACCCAGCAGATGCGAGTACATGGTTTAAGAGAAAAGCAAGGCTGGTGGTTTGTGGGAACTATGCTTCAGCAGACGGTTCCTACCTCTACTCCGAAACGGCGCCACCAGAGTCGGTGAGAATGGGTTTGGTGTACTCTATACGACAGAAGTGGATGGTGGGCCTGATTGACGTCGTAGCGGCCTTCCTACGTACACCGTTGATCTATGAGGAGGGCGCTCCAACGATCATTGTTTCTCCACCTCGACTACTAGAACGGTTGTCCATGATCCTTGAAGGAGAACTATGGGGGCTCGTAAGAGCCCTATACGGCTTGCGCCAGGCGCCGGCTCTCTGGAGTTCCTACAGGGACAAGAGGTTGGAGGCCATGAAAGTCCCCATGGGCATGAGATTGTGTCGAGGACGTACGATAACAGCATGGTGGGTTTTGAAGGACGAGAAAGGGGAGATCCGTGCCCTTATCATAATCTACGTCGACGACATTTTGTTGATGGGAGAGGAGGGGGTTGTTCGGGATGTCGCCGCAACGGTTCAGGAGGAGTGGACAACCTCACCACTTACTTTCCTTCGTCCAGGGGAACCTATTAGATTTCTTGGGACAGAGATGGAGGTGGACGCCGACCACATGACTGTGTATTTGAGTCAGCGGGGCTACATCGAGGAGGTAGTTAGGTCCTATGGTTTCAGCGACGAGGATAAGGCGAAGATCCCCCTGGCCAAGGACCTTGCGAGCTTTGAGTGGGTTGAAGGGGATTTAGAAGCAACTCCGGTTGCAGTGGCAAGCGCCCAGCGGATAACTGGAGAAGTGATGTGGATGGCCCATAAAACCCGAGCTGACGTGGCTTATACATCAAGCCTGATGGCGTCGATTACCTTGAGGGCTCCCTACCGATGCTTGGATATTGGCTACAAAGTTCTCAAGTACTTGTATGGTACGAGGGAAGAGAAGCTGGCTATTCGCAATGATGGTACTGGCCTGATCCTCTACCCGGACGCGGCCTTCGCCCCGAGCAGCGGAAGGTCACATACAGGTTGGCTTGTGTGCTGGGGAAGTACACCAGTCTGTTGGAGGAGCGGGAGGCAGGCAAGTATCACGCTGAGCACGGCGGAGAGCGAGTTACAGGCTATCATTGAGGGGTTCGTCGGGATGCTGGGACTTGAGGCAATGCTCTTGGACCTGGAGGTGGAACCTACGGTCAAGGTGATAAGGAGTGACTCAACAAGCGCACTGGCGATTGGAGCAGGAACCGGGAGCTGGAGAACGAGACACCTACGACTCAAGGCATCCTGGATTCAGGAGATGATATCACGTGGTGAAGTGATGGCGGAGCATCAGCCGGCAATTCATCAACCAGCTGACTTGCTCACAAAGCCGTTAGCGGGCCAGCGTATTCGAGATCTACTACAACTGTTGGGGATTACGGATGGCCAAACCACCCAACCTACGGCAAGAAGCACGACGTCAACTACGGCAATGACACGAATCCTGGTGGCGATGGTGTGCTGTATGTTGGTGCTGACGGTTGAAGCAAGACCACAAGCCGTAGGGCGAACCATCGAGGTGGACTGGGACATGGTGGCGATCTTCATGGGCCTACTGATGGTGCTGGGTGGTTTGATCCTGTACGAAGCGGTGAGATGGGGTGTCGTCGAGGCCTACTACAAGTACCTACCTGGAGCGTCAACGAGAAGAATGAGGAGGCTACAGCGACTAAGGGGTGCTACAGCGCAGGCCATCGAGAGAGAGTTGGCCAGGGCGTCTACAGCTACACAGGGGTCACTGGCATCAAGTTCGTCAACAATGGACGCTAGGAGGACTGAGAGACCCGGAACACCACCACGAAGGAGGTCACAACCAGTTGATAGATCTACTTCACCGTTGCCACCGCGACGGATGCAGGAGGCTTTTACACCCCCGAGGCCTACAGCGTCTACTACACCAGTGTTATCCCTTGGAGAAGGGGATGATCAAGTTCCTCATGATGAAGCTCACAGAATATGTGTTGACACGGTGATGCTGATGAGGTTGGAGGAGATCCGTGACGGCCTCCGACTGAATGGGTTAGTTATCACCGGCAGGACGCTGCAACGAGATTAGCACAAGTGCTGATCCGTCAGTTGGGATCAGGTTCTGGTCCCACGCTCAGACAAATGAGATACCTCGTATGGTTGTGGCGAGAACGGAACTTAGGGGGAAGAACACTTCTTACATGGGCAAACCTGCGTTCGAGAGGTGATACGTCCCGGACCATATCCCACTGGAAGTCCTTATGAGAGAGACGCTGCAGCTCTATCGAACCTTGCGAGGAGGAGTGCAGATGTACCAGTTGGATATGAAATGATCCGCGCCACTGCTCGAATGTAGGGAAGGCTACGAGTTCAAAGCCCTTGAGTCATGGATGCTTGTGTAAAGCTTGAAGCATCTAGCAGAGGAAACAGTCAGCGATCACTTGTACATCTAACGCTTGACAGTCTCTGCAAGCCTCAATTCGCCCGCGGTGCTTTCAGGATGGATATTTAAATGGCCACTGAAGGTTCTGCCCCAGAGCACTCAGCAGAAAGTGCTCAGCAGGTTTAGGGTCCAGCACTTGGTTGCATATACTGACCCAACATTGCTTCGAGGTCTATGATTTGAGTCGTAGGGTTTAGAGCAATTTGCTGGGCGTCGTCTTCCGTCTGCGAAGCGTTTGGCATCTGAAAGTGCAGTTTAGGGAAACACTGAAACACAGAATTCAAGGATTAAATCTTTCTTCAACCCGCTGACCGAGGACTATTTGTAGCTTAGGGCTTGGACGGTTCAGTGGTTTGCGGGTCTGTGCTTCTTTATTCATTTTTGCATAGATCCAACACGAAAACGCTCTGGCGAAGACCCTTACGAAAAACAAAAGCCTCAGAAGTGAATTATCGAAGACGAAAACCCTATAGGAATGAATCCAGCAGGAGCGTTGTGACCTCACCCAAACCCTGAGGAGCGAACCCAGCACGACCTTTGACCGAAGACGAAAGCCTAAAATACCAGAAGTGGCTTGGTGCTAAAGACACCAAAGAAGTTAAAGCTCAGATGCCTTTTTTGCAACCTTCTGCAGAGATTTGCTGTTTTCGCAGCCGAAAAAAGCTACAACGCTGTCGTTTTGCTGGAAAAGGTGCAAAATTGCGTCCAAAAGAAAAAGTCACAAGTAGGTGTTCCACTTAACAGACCTTCAGGTGCCTGCGCACACCACAAGCGACATGAACATGCATCTTTGCAGACCTCCTTGCAGCCTTGCAATCTTGATATGCGATAGTCGTGATTTCGTCTGCCGGTCTACCTTGGGATCCGTTGTGTCAGAAAGCAGCTTGAGTTTCAGCGTTGGTCGTGGGAATCGCCCTCATCTGCGGGCATGTTGGTCATGGCTCAACTTGCCGGCAGACATGGCATATCCAGGTCAATCCCATCGTGTTGAAGTCCGTGGGTGCATGGATACTTCCACTTTGTCATTCTTAGATGCTGGCGAAGCAGAACCCAATCAAGTGCAGCACGTCCCTCCAGTGCCCGTGCCGAATGGAAAAGCGGACGGTATCCTTCTATGAGGCAGGGAGCCGGGGGGCCGGGAGCGCTCGGCGGAGATGCCGTGAAGAAGAAATCTCCGATTCTTGGGACAAGGCCTTCAAGCAGGTGCTGCTTTATCGGACCGGCCTCACGGTCTCCGAGACCGAGCTCCACAAGGAGACTGAGCCTCCCCCCCCCAAAGCCTCGAACTCCAAGAATCTAAAACCCTTAAAGCCCTCCACGACGACGGGAGGAGCTCCTGGAACATGAGTTAGAGCTGGCTCTGAGGCCTGTGCTTTGTCCTTTCTTTCTGTTGGAGGGGGGAGGTGTCTTGGGGTTCTACGTTCAGCTTTTCCTTGCTGGGGGCTCTTAAACATGCCTTGATTCCTCAATCAGGCTGTGCTCAGATAATCCAGCATATGGCAAGGTACGCTTTACAAGAAATGTCTGGAATTGGCATCGTGGTACCCCATACCACAGGCAAATACAGCGGCCATAGCGAAAGAAGTAGACATGCAGGTGCTTGCAGATCAAGAATCGAAGCAATCACAAACACGGGTATCACATGTATTATGTTTGGGGGTTTGAACACACATGCAGTTGCATCAACCAGTCTGTTTATCCATATCTATCCGTATGTATATATATATATATATATATATATATTACATACGCAGACAGAAAACGCACACACGTGTACAGTCAAACTGACAAATGCAAATCCAAAGCTAACTAGAAGTGTGTGTGTGTGTACATATATATATATATGCTACCCCCCCTCCAGAATCCGCGCTGTGGTTGTTGGTACGCTACTGTGTGCCATTAAAAATGTTGTTCCAACCCAAATATTGGTTCGTTTGTTTTTTTTGGGACTGTCTCGATGAATATGCTCATTTCGTGGCCTTTTAGTTTTGGTATTTCTGTTTTTTTTTGGGACTGTCTCGAGGAATATGCTCATTTCCAATTTCGGATAAGTCCCGGAACCTTTGGTTCTTTTGTTTTTTTTGGACTGTCTCCATGAATATGCTCATTTAGAGGCCTATGGGCTTTGGTATTTTTGTTTCTTTTGGGACTGTCTCGATGAATAACATGCTCATTTAGAGGCCTATGGGCTTTGGTATTTTTGTTTTTTTGGGACTGTCTCGAAGCATGTGCTCCTGTCGTGGCCTTGGCTTCTTGTCAGTCGCATACATTAGCATGTCAAGTTTCACGTCCGGTTGCATATGCATGTGCATGTACACATTCACGTACAGCGTTATATGCGTGCACATGTACACATACACAACAAGAAGTGTACCATACCGACTCACTGGACATATGCACTCAAGAGAAGGGACAAAAACCACAGGAAAGAGTGAAGAACTTGACCATGCACTCGAGGATCGTAGTTGAAGCAAGGCTTGAGGGCGTGGATTCCGGCGGGGGGGGCACCATACATGTAATTACAAGTATAAATATAGAAATAACATACACATGTACAGTCAAATTGACAAATATAAACACAAAGCTAACTAGAAGCATAAATACGGACATGAAGAAACCAACTATATATATATATATATATAGATACATACATACACAATGGGGCTAAACAGCTCGCCTTCTACTATAAGTCCAAACGACCTTGCCTACGTAACCCAAGCTGAAGTGACACAAATACATCGTCTGCGCCCCTATATACCTGAAGCCCAATCTAAAACTTGAAAACTTTTCAAGATCATCACTGATCACCGAGACCTTTGTATGTACACCCGTTCTCTGGTACTGTTGGAAACAAGTACTGCTACTGCTTCTTCGAGTGAAACCCGATCCCAGAATTCTGAAACAATAAGTCTTCAACTTGGTGATACCCTAGCCCAACTTAACTAGACATAACCAGACAGCATTCACAGAAAGCACTTCTATACAGATATATGCATATGTATTCTGATTGGTAGCTTGCTAGGTAGGTAGGTAGGTAGGTAGGTAGGTAGACAGATAGATAACTAGATAGATAGACAGTGCTTGAGTATGTATGCATGCATGCATGCATGGACACACAGGGAATCATGACTAGACTATTTGTTTTTTCATAAGCCACGCCTTGGCCAGGCTTGGGGGCCTCGCCGGCGACACCGAAAACTCGGAGGGGCCTGTCACCATCCTGGAGGAGGGAATGTTGGATTCAGGGCTCAGGCGCTGCTGGGTTTAGGGCCTTTAGGGCTCAGGGGCATCTGTCCGTTGCAGCATGGGCAAGGGTCGGATGCATGAAGCCAGATAGCCGACAGCCACTGTGCTTTCGTTGTGCCAGGAGCCCGCAAGCCGAGACAAGGAGCGTAGCCAAGAGCAGATTCTTGCAGTTCTCATGCTCGCAGTGCTCGTCCAGCGCTCGTCCAGCGCTCGTCGGCTGACAGGACGGCAAAGGCCAAAAGGAGGGGAAGGAAAAGGGCCAAAAGGATGGCACAGAAAAGCAGGGCAAAGGGAAAGGCAAGGAGAAGGGCGAGGGCAAAGGCGAGGGCAAAAGCCTGGAGAGCGGCGAGAGCAATGGCTGGAGTTCCGATGCCGAGACGCTGCTTCGTTTAGTGAAGCGCGTGGGTCCCCGAAACCCCAACCTGTGCTCCAGCGCCTTCCTGAAGAGCTTCTTCCAAGACCTCCGCCTGCCGCAGCTCCGCATCGGGCAGCTCGGCGAGGTGCGCCGCCGCTGGGCCGCCCCTGCCCTTCTGATCCGCATCGGCTTAAGCATCCGCAACGCAGGATGCTCTGGGCTTTTCTCAGCTCACGTCCCTGGACGTCTCCCGGAACGCTCTGGTGGACCTCCCGTACCTGCCGCCGAACCTCCGCTTCTTGCGGGCCCAGACCTCGTGGTCGGGTCTTTAGGACCACGCCTCAGTTCAGTTCAGAGTGAAGCCCGAGGCTTACAACAACAGGCTCTCCCGGCTAAGCTGCAAGCCTTTGTCCTCGCTCTGTTTCCTGGGCCTCGGCTTCAACCCGTGGCGCCCTGAGCTCCGACGCAGAAGCTCTTGAGAAGTTCTGCCTTGTAGCATGACGCCAGACAATACCTACCCCATGTCATACATTATACGCAAAAAGCAAGTAAACAAGCAAACTGTCTGCCTGACTGCCTGACTGACTGACGGACGGACGGATGGCTGACTGACGGATGGACTGCGTGCAGCGAGAAATGAGATTCGTCTTCTTGTGAGTACGCGGCTTGTAAGTACTCAGAAGCATGATCCTGCTTCATACTACATGAATATGCACAGATACACGCATACACAAATGCATGCCTGCATACACGCGTACATGCATACATGCACACACACACACACACATATATATATATAGAGTGCGTCGGAAAGCAGGTTTCTGTATACATACATATACATGCATGCATATACATACATACATGTATATACACTATATACACACATAGGTATATACAGAAAATTCACAACTGCCAAAACCTACACATATACATATGCAGATGCATATACATGTACATACCTACACGCATACATGCATACATACGTACATACATACATACATACATATGTACGCATACACATATGTACATATACATATATACGCACATATACATATAAATTTACATTTACATGTGTGCATGTGCATGTTTTGTGTGTGTGTGTGTGTGTGTGTTGCATTTATGCATGTTTGCATGTATGATTGTATCTTTGTTTGTGTGCATGCTTTTGTGAATGTTTTTGTGTGTATGTCTGCATATATGGATGGATGGAGGGAGGGCAGGAGAAACGGACGGACGGACGGACGGACGGACGGACGGACGGAAGGATGGATGTACACACCGGCATACATCATACACACAAGTTGTTTGTGATGAGGCTCGGCGACCAAGGGTTTGCGGATGCCAGCAAGTTCTCGAACTTGCTGTCGCTGGACGCAGGGAATACGGACACGGCCCGCGCCCCAAGTGAAGGATTCTTGAGATGGCGGCTTTGTCACGATCTGACGGATCCGTCCAGAGGCGAGTTTGGCCGGCGCGAAGTCCTCCTTGAAGTCTCTGGGCTCTTCGCTCCGGCACCTCTTCTTGCTGGGGAGCCCCATTTGCATCTCGGACACCACCAAGAGCGGCAGAGCGGCGCTGCTCGGGGGAGGGGCGGGGATTTTGCCGGGGGGCGCCGAGGCCTGCTGCCTTTCTACCGACTCCAGCTCCTCGGCGAGGCGCCGCCGCGAAGAGTTGGAAAGAGTGGTTTGTCCACTCTCAATTGCAGGCGCCCCAGCTCCAGGTCTTGGACGGCTTGGCGCCCAGCGAGGAGGAGCTGGCAGAGGCCCAGCAGCTCTCCGAAGCAGAGGCCCTACAGGCCGCCGAGGCTCCGGCGGCTCCGGCGGCGGAGTCCGGGTCCGGGTCCGCGGTGGGCGGTGGGCCCGAGTGGTGCCGCATCACCTTGGCTCTCGGACAGTTGAAGAACCATCAGGAGAGCAGGGGGGGGGGGGGGGGGGGGGGCCCACCTTAATTTTTCAGAAGGCTTTCTTACGAGGCTGGTGTCTTGGACTCATGACTCTGCAGGCCAGCTGTGGTTTCTCCCTGCCGAGGAGCTGCTGAGAGAGGCCCTGCTTGCTCCCGGCGCGGAGGCGCGCTTCCAAGCGGTAGCGAAGCTTTTTGCTCCCGGAGTGCTAGGCTTTGCCTCTTTGCTTTGCTGCAGGAGGCCTTTGCGGCCGCCCAGGCGGAGCTGGCGGCCGAGGGCGGCGAGGTGCCGGAGCGGGATGCTTTAGCCGAGAAGTGTGGCCAAGAGAGCCAGCTGGCTCTGTCCTTCCAACTGCCTAGCGGCATTTGGGTGGCCACGAGCAGCATCAACCTCTGCAAGAAGACCTACGAGGCGGAAGAGGGTCAGCCTGCGCCCCCGGTAGTCCTCAAGGAATCCTTGAAGCTCAAAGCCTTGCGGCAAGAGTCCGGCGAGCATCTGAGCTTCGACTTCCACTTCCAGGAGGATTTGAGCGGCTTGCGCGCTCTTCGCCAGTGGCTCCAGCGGGGCCTGCAGCTGAAGCTCCACTACCTGCCCAAGCCCAAGCAAAAGGAGACGGAGCAGGCGGAGCAGGCGGAGCAGGTGGAGCAGGTGGAGAAGGAGACGCCCCTTGCAGAAGAGCAGCCCGCAGAAGCCGCGGAGGCTGCAGAGAGGCCGAAGGATGCGGGTCCGGCGGGCGAAAGTGTCTGCTTGGGCGGCTGCATCCTTCCGCTCTCGAGCTTCCTGCAGCGGACGCCCTCGGGCTCGGCGGGCTCTCCCTGCCCAGACCCCTGGCCTCACGCGGCCGAGGTGACCGTGGTGCCCGTGGCCCAGTGGCTGAACCCGGAGATCCAAGTTCCCAAAGAGAAGGAGAGGGACAGGGACAGGGAGAGGCGCCCGAGCGGCGCAGGCGGCGTCGGTGTGTCGCCGCCCAGCGCGCAGCTGGAGCTCGTGCTCACCTTGTACTCGATGCCCTTGGAGGACGTCGTGGAGTCTGAAGAAGAGGCACCACCGGCCCCCAAGGCGAAAGCCAAAGCAAAGGGCAAGAAGTAGTAGCACCAAGTAGCATGCTCGCAACAAAAGGAGGGCCGGAGCTCATCGCCCCGAAGGGGCAATGGCAATGCCGCCCTCTCCGTGGCAGGTGGTCACTGCCGGGGCCAAAGACAGGTCCCGTTGGTACAGTCAAGCCGCTCGCTGAAAAAAAAGTTCTTGAAGGCCAAGTGCAGTACATGCTTGAATCGTTTAGGTCCAGCGAGGCTGCCGCAATCTGCCACATCCTTGACTCAGCATCCCAGCATATAGGACTTGAAACTTGCAGGAGTGGCAGAGAGAAACGGAGAGAGGGGCCGTTTGGAATGGTGCCCAGGAAGAGACGTGAACCTGCAGGTGCAAGGAACCGCCAGAAGCATCCCTGATGAACGAACGCCACTCGCACCGGGGGATGGTGGAAGCGAGAGTGTCGGCGCTGCGGCGCCTTGCAGCCCAAGACGTGGTGCCAGCAGTGCAGGACTCAGGGGTAGCCTGTTGCGTCCTTGCAGGTGTTCTCGAAAGCAGACTCATCTAGAAGAGCCCGAATTTAGTTTTGTTAGCTCGTCCCGGCATGTGAAAGGGTCGGGCGAATCGCGGAACGTGTTTCCAAGCACTGCGCCTTTCCATCCCTGATCATAAGCAACTTTGCAATAGAACGACTCTGCCAAATCCCTTTTCCATCGAATTCTTCTTGCCTCAGAGAAGAAGCGTTTGCATACAGTTCATTTCTACCGGCACACTTGCTCGCTGACGCCACCTCGGGTTTTGCACCAGTTGCGGTTTTCCCGAGGTTGACGCTCGGTTAAGCTTAGTGCCCTCAGTCCTCAAGCTGGCCTTTTGGGCTAATTAGTTTTTGTGCGAGGACTTTGTACTACATCCTCTCTCTTCACGCCTTGGTGCATGCTTCCAATGCTTGTCACTAGGATCTCGGTGGTCAGAGCATCCAGACAAGAGTGTGTTGCAATGAGTACCCGAACTCAGAAAGGACAAGCGGCAAACACTCTGGCAGCTTCCCTTCCTAACAGCCTCGAGGACGCCGTCTTGCGAAGCAACACTGGGGCGGAGGCGACGGGTATCTGCGTACGTGCGCGTTCACACGCACAGACGCACCGGTGTGTGCATGCAGCATGTCATAGGATGGTACGCTCGGCAGCCTTCACCACAGGTGACGCTTCAGCGGGAGGTCTTGGGCCTGGAGTGGCTTGGGATCAAGCAGCCCTTCCGATTGCGGCTCCAGGCAGGGCAGAGTGGGCAGAGCGGGCAGAGCAGAGCAGAGCGACGTGCAGCAGAGCGCTCAAGCCTTCGCCGCCGCCCCACGTCTCGAGTCAGCGTCCCAGCCCCTGAGCGTGCCGTTGCGCGGCATGGCGACGACACGCCGCCCGCGGCTGCGGCATCTGGCTTGGGCCTGCCTGGTCCTGGGCGGAGTGGCCCGGCAAGCTCACGAAACCAATGGCTGTAGCCCTGTAACCGGCTTATAACTTCGTAGATCCACGGAATCCCCCCACTTTCGAGAAGAGAGCTGCTGAGAGCTCGGCAAGGTCCCTTTCGATGCTCGCAGCTTTGCTTCCGTTGCTTCGCGGCGAGGGGCCCTGGCCCTCCTGGGCATCGGAACGCCGCTCTTCCCTGCTGGAAGCGGCCGAGCGGCGGCGGCCGAGGCCCCGCGGCCCCAAAACGAAAAGCCGTGTTGAGGCATCTTCAAGCTCTATAGCCTCTATAGACGACCATTTCTTTCGCTCCCTCAGAGCCGAGGGGATGGACGAGGGGCCCACGGAGGCGGACGTGAGCCTGATGCTGGGCACCGACAGCTTCTCTGTTTGGTAGCAATCATCCGTCATAATCTGTTTGTGTGTTGGTCCGTCAATGTATCGGTCCATCTATCTATATCTTTCTGTCCATCTATCGATTATTGTCTCCATCTGGTTTGATCTAGAACTGTTTCTATCTACTCTGTCTATGCATGTCCATCTCCATCATTCCATTCTCCATCTGCTTCCTGTCCATAAACCACGATCTCATCATAGAACAAGGCAGCCGTGCGGTCTCTAAAGACCTATCTAGCTCCTGTCTCGAATCTCGAGCAATGGGGTCTCACAACCCTGCAAACCCTACGCCCTAAGCCATTACATAAGCCCTAAACCCGAAGCCTTGAACCGTCTCACAATCCCAAAAACCCGAAGCCCAAAGCCCTTTGAATTTACCCCGAAGCCCCCCGAGGATGCAGTCGGCGCTCTCCTCCGTGCGGAAGCTCGGCGACTTCCCAAGCAAGGCCGCGCTGGGCCAGGCAGAGGCGGAGCTGACGGAGCTGCTGCGAAGGCCGCCCGGCAAAGCAGAACACAGTTTAGGCAGTTTAGGGTTGCTTAGGGTTTCGGGGTGTTTTAGAGGTGTAGAAGGCAGGGTGATGTTGAGGCTAGGGTTGTGTTGAAGCTTTCAGGGATGGCAGTCTAGCACTTGTCAGTGACTTGTCAGTATGAGTGTCCATTTTAACGCTACGCCGCCCACCTCGGCTCTGTAGCGGCAGGGTGAGGGGGCAGTGGATGTCATATTTACCATGCTAGGGGGGCCTCTCAACCCCAGCCTTTGCGTGTCTAGTGCGGGACCTCGCTGCTCTTCTCCCTTTTGGGAGAGGGGCGGGGGGGGAGGGGGGGGAGAGAGGCCTACAAATCAGGTGAAATGAAGGGGCCGGGCAAACCCCCAAGGCGGATTTCAATGTTATATGTTATACAAGCCCCAAGGCGGTCAACAAAGCTCTTACTCGTGCACTCATGTCAAAGTAGTAGCCAAATAGCACCGCACTCTGACGCACACACCAACCCTTTCAACCCCATGTTTGGAGGCGTCCTGCTTCTGGACCCTACTGTCCTACACCCTGAACCTCCAAACCCCTACCACACTCAAGACCCAATAGATCCTACATACCCTGAGCCCTACAAACCCGAAACCCCGAATAAACCCTGCTCGAAGCTACGCGCAGGTGGCGTCGGCTGCCCGTGGCCCCGAACGAAGTCCCCGCCCTTCTCAGGCGCCGGGCCTTCGCCCCTTGGCAGCGGGCTCTGCTCTGCCCTCCCCTGCATCACCCTGCCATCGCATGGGGAGGAGACGAGACGCGTAGCCTTTCTAAAGAATCGCGCCGCGAGTGGCCGCGTAGCCGAGTCCCGGCCGCGTGGCCGCGTCCCGGCCGCGAGGGTTGGGCCGAGCCGAGGGCGACTCCGAGGCTTCGCGTTTCCGAGGCGGAGCGGTGGAGCTGCGTGAGCGGAGCGGTCGCGGTCGGGTCGCGGCGCTGCGCTCTGCTGCAGCCAAAGCCGAGGTCCGCCTTCGTGCGCAGCGGCCGCAGGCGCGAAGCGCGTCTCCTCTTCGAAGCGTCGAACCCGCTGTTATGGGGCCTATAGGGCTTTTGAGAGAGAGAGAGAGAGAGAGAGAGAGAGAGAGAGAGAGAGAGAGATAGAGAGAGAGAGAGAGAGAGAGAACTCCCAGCCCCTCAGCAGCTGCCCTGCCAGGAGGCGCAGGCAGATTTAGTGGAGGCCCTGCAGCTCTGCGAGGCCTGAGACGAGGGCTGAGAGGCTGAGAGGCTGAGAAAAGGATCTTTGAAGCCGAGCTTCGGACCGGAGGCGGGAGGTTCTTGAACGTTTCGGTGTTTTGAGATCTGAGATCTGCAGTTGTCGCCACAGGCATCCAAGGCCAACCCCCTTGTCCAGTTTGACGAAATGCCCAAGGCCTGGGACTGTCAAAAATCGGTGCGGAGTAGGCTTGAAGGCACCCGAGCCCCGAGTCCGAGTGCAGGTTCTGGTGGCTCGTGGCAACGTCCTCAGGCCTGTGGCCGAAGTCTAGGTTTATCTTGGGGGCTCTTGCTGTAGCCGGGTAGCTCGTTGCAGGGCTTTGGAGCAGTGGGATTCGGCCGTTGCCGACTATGACCGGGCAGCAGATCTTTTCGGCGAGCCCCTGGAGGACTCGCCCGTCCATCTCTTGCCGCTCCCTGTCTCCCCTTTCTCTCTGCCCCTGTGTCGAAGGACTTAGAGCTGCTTGAGGGCAGGGCCAAGGCCTGGGATGGGGGATCCCAGACTCGTCCTTGTCGGCGCTTTGGGACTGCCAGGCCAAAGTTGGCCAGCAGCAGTCAGGACCCCAGCGGAGCTCCTCAAGAGAAGAACGGGGCGTGAGCTTCAAGAGGCCTCTGGCAGCCGCGGAAGACTTCGAGGCCGCACCGCCGTCACCGCCGTCACCGAGCTCTCGTCACCTCCGGTCCTCTGTGCTCTGCTGGCCCTGTGTGCCCTTTGAGGCGGCCGCGGCGCTGCTGCGTTCCGCAGGCCGCCGCCCCGAAGCCGAGATCCAAGCGGAGAAGGCCGCCGTGGCGCTCCTGGCGGCGCAGGCGCGGACGCCTCCTCGGGCGACCGCCGCACAGGGTCACAGAGGGCTCAGCCGCTCAGCTCAGACTCTGCGCTGCGCTGCGCTGCGCTGCAGGAGCTGGCCAAGGCAGAGGTCTGCTTCGTGGACGTCATCCGCCGCTGCGTGGGCCTGCTCAGCAAGGACGTCGGCCTGCTCCAAAGAGTGGGAAGCCCGGAAAGCCGCCCGGGAAGCCGCGGAGAGGGCTCTGAACTCTCAACAGCGCTGAGAAAGATGCGCTGAGCTCACGGCCCGACCGCTCAGGTTGTTCAAGCTGATTCCGACGCAAGGATGGCAATGGTCGCCATTTCCTGGCACAAGGGTCATGGCCCAAGCAGCGGATCCTGATGACTCTGGGCCGTGCTGTTGGGCTGTGCTAAAGAGGTGACATAGAAGTTGCCGAGACGTGCCCCCGAAGGGTTGTTGCTGCACACCAGAGTTTCACACGAAAGCTGTTCACGAGCGCTCGACATTGCCACACTCCACACTTCTCCTCTTGCCCGTCCCTTTTCTTGCAGTCGAAGTAAGAGTGTCGAGCTCCGCAGGTACTGGCGGGATGGCTGTGCGACTCGGGCATCAGACGGCTCGTTCTTTTGATTTGGGGTCCGTGCTGAGGCTGAGACCTGGGAGCATGTTGTTTTGCTGCTACACGACCAAGGATCGATTGAACATCTTGGCCAGCGGCCCAAAGACCTTTTGGTGCGTGCGTGCGTGTTTGTGTGTGTCAAGTGTTGATTGTTTTTTTGATGCTCCCTTTTGAGGCGGATGAGGCTTCGAAGAACTTGGCCCTGGGCTTCGCCGACGGCGACGTCTACAACTGCACCCGGTGCCCTGCCCTGCCGGGCTGCCCTGGGCTGCGCTGGGGGCCTGCTGGGGGCCTGGGATGCTGGCTGGGGGCTTCAGGTACTCCTCGGATGGCGAGTGGATTCGGCGAGTGCAGGGATGGCCTTCGGAGGCCGAGCCCTCGGACTCGGAGCCCAAAACGGCTCAGCCTCAAAGCCTCAAAGCTCTCTCTCTTCAGTTTCCCAAGGCCATCGGATGGTTCCAGGACTTCTTGCAGAATCGTCCAGGCAACGCTCCTCCCGAGGGCTATCTGCAGGAGCCCGCTGCAGCCCGCAGAGCAGCGCCTTGTTGAGAAAAGTGTTGTTGGGAAGCTGAGCCGAAGTGTTGAGGACCTCAGCTCCGGCAAGCGGCCCGGCGAGGGCAGCACGCTCATGGACCTGGCCCGGCTTGCCCGCTTGCTTGCTTGAGCTTGAGCTTGAGCTGTCCAGCTCTTGCCGCTCTTGCGGCTAGCTCCCGGAGGCCTTGGCTTCGGACGCCTTCCGTCGGACGGACCCTGTGGCGGATTTGCAGAGGCCGAGCCGCCGGGCCGCCGCCGCTCGCCTCTTTCTCTGTGCTCCGCTGCTTCAGAGGAACCTTCAGCGGCAGCCGGAGCTCGACCGTCAGCGCCAGACGGCGGAGTTTCAGCGGTGACAAAGAGCCCTCGAAAAAGAGAGCGGGGGCCCGGCCAAAGGCCGGGGGGCCGTTGGGCGCCCACACGATTGCGGCTCCAGGCACAGGATTTGGCTCCAGGCACAGAGAGCCGACAGCTCTTCATGGGCAAGGTCGGTAAGCTCCGCATGTACACGCTGAGACATGCAGGAGGCCGCAGACACTCATAGGATTCGATGATAAACCTTACTTTGCCAACAGACACTTGATTTTCCTTCATGGAGGCGGAGAGCGCAGCTTTTCCGAATGCCTGGAATGCCGGCGTTCGCGCAAAAGGCGATGGCGAGAAAGGCAAGGGCCAGAAGGGAGGAGGGAAGGGAGGGAAGGGCGGGAAGGGCGGGAAGGGAGGGAAGGGAGGGAAGGGCAAGGGCAAGGCCGGAAAAGCTGGCAAGGGTCCACGGGAGTCGGAGGAGCTGCCCGAGGAACGCCGAGACATTTTGATGGGCGAGTTGGAGGCCTTGGCTGCAGGCACCGAGACCGGCGCCGTCCCTCGCGTGGGGGATCGCGTCATCCTGCAAGTCCTGGGCAAGGATCGAGCAGAGCTGCATGGTCGAACTGCGACAGTTCGAGGTGTCCTGCCTGGTGCCCTCGCTGCCTTCACGATGCGACTCGAAGAGGGAAAGGACGGAACAGAAGGAAGGGAGGTGACGGCCTCTGCAGAGGACCTTCGTGTCGTAGAGGCTGCTCCTTTTGGTGCGCTGCCCGAGGGATCCCTGACTTTCCCGAAGTCTTTGACGGGCTTAGAGCGGAAGTTCGTGCACGAAGCGGCGGAGGCTCTGGGCCTTGTCTCGCAGAGCTTCGGCCAAGGCCCAGAGCGCTACATCACCGTCTTCCGCCCCGCCCAGGGAGCCCCTGCCACGGGCGTCGGCGATCCGCAGCCCGCGCAGGAGCCAGCGGAGGACGCGGAGGACGCGGCGGAAGCGGAAGCAGCGGAAGTTTGGATCTCGGGAGTGGTGCTGGATGAAGGCAGCCAAAACTCGCTGAAGAGTGCTGTTGGAGTGCCCGACGACTGGCACGTCTTTGCCGATCGTTGTGAGCTATGCCGCGGGGCTTTGAGCGACCCGAAGCCACTTGCGGCAGCCAGGGACTTCAAGCGATCCGTCACAGCAGAGGCCACCCTGCAGCTCCAACGGCTGCGCCCTGCTGCGTCAGCGGAGATGCGCGTGGCGACACTGGCCCGAGGCCCGGAGCCGCTCGAACATTTCCCAAACAAAGCTAGCACGAGCCGTGTGATGCCGTTTGCGAAACCGCTCTCTGAGGCGAGGAAGCCATCGCCGTGGGCGTGCTGGGGCTGCCAACGTTGGATCGGAATCCGCATGTGCTGGTCGCTGCTGCGCCCGGACTCGCCGCACGTGGCAGGGTCGCACGCGGCAGGGTGGAGAGGTGTCTGGGCGGCGTGCGCTGGGAGCCTTGGACGGGGGAAGCGCTCCTCCTCCGCGGCCAGCTGAAGCAGTGGCACAAGGCGGAGCTCTACGAAGAGGAAATCAACGGCTGAGGCCGAAGCGATGCAGGGACCGCAGGGATGCAGAGATGCAGCGGAGCGGCGAAGGGCGCCGGCGCAGGAGCGAGACCTGAGAGTCGGAGCCGTCGGGCTGCCACCCCCCAAGTGTGGCTCAGAAGCGAGTCTTCTGCAACGGGCCTCCATTGCCATTGCGGTGAAAACCAGAGCGGAGCGATGCAGAGTGGCTTTTCGGCTCACGTTTGTTCTTGGGGACCGCCGCAGGCACCACCGGCTGGCTTGCCGGGCACCTCCGAGGCAGCTGTTGTCTTCGGCGCTCAGGCCGAGAAAAAGGGGGGAACGGGGGCGAAAAAGACCGAGTACCCAGCTGTGGCAGCTCCGATCAGCTCCGATTCGGAGGCGGCGGCACTCCCAGCGCTGTGGCGTGACCCGGCGCGTTTGGATCGTGGCTCGGCGCTCAAAACGGTTCGCGTCGCGAGGGGGACGCTCCGTCGTGGAACTCGGCTGCGGAACCGGCTATGCCACGGGCCCGGCCCGGTCGAGTACCCGGTCTCGATCTAGACGAGAGTTGGGCGTTTAGTGTGAGGTGGGGCTGCTCCTGGCGCAGTTGGGCGCCCGGGTGACGCTCACGGACCTGCCGAAGTTCCAGGAAACCGCCGCCGCTTCCATCCTGGCCACAGGACCCCACATCCAGCCAGCGCCCCAAGCAAGCGCTCTCTGCTCCGCTTGCGTTGGCGTCGCGCTGAGGCCGCCAGGCAGGGCAAGCTTCTGCGCCTCGGCCACTACGTAGCGGCGGCGGCGGTTTCAACTTAAACGGCTTGCAGCTGGAGTTTTGCCCTCTTTTGTCTTCCGTCCGAGCCGAGCTCGAGCTCTCTCCGAGGCTGCCTCGACTGGTCAGAGTTAAACTCGGACTCCGCCCGAGCGCTGCTGCGCAGTGCCCACGTCCTCGTCGCCGCCGAGCCGGTCACCTGCCAGTGGGGCCCCAAGGCCGGGCCGGCCGGGAGGAGGGAGGAAGAGGGTTCCGTGGTCTGAGGTGCTCGGAAAGGGACTTCCTGAGCCTCCTGGAGGCGGTACTGGGCGGAGGCCCGGTCCAAAGTGTCCGAGAATACGCGCCTACAGCATCTATCGGGCATTTGGAAGCCTTCCGGAGAGGATCACTCCTTTGTCCTCGGCTCGAAGGCTTTGTCAGATCACCTCTCTGGAAAAGCTGGAAAGGATGCAGGGTTTGACCGTGCCCATGCCGAAGGTTTCCTCGTGGCGCACAAGCATCAGCAGAACTTCTGCATCGGTCGCGGACCCTGTCACGCCTTGTGCAGTCCGCCCAGATGGTTGCCATTATCGTTGCCACCCACGCCCCATACTGTTCCCCATAAAATGAATAAGGATAACCTGGCACTTCGGGAGTTGCATCACCTGATAAATAAGATGAGTAATGTACTTTGACATATATTGGGCTACTAGTTGTGATTATCGGGCTAAAGATGGTTCACGGTGATGTAACTACCCAAACTGGCAAACTGGGCAAGGCCCTCCCTAACTTGTGCAAGGTGCAAGGTTGTGAAGGCCCTTGCTACAGGGTGTTCTTCGCCAGGCGGTTACAGTGCGCCTTCGCGCGAAGCGGCCCCGGGCATCGTTCTTTCGGACAGTTGCGACCGCTGCACCTTCCGCCGAAAGCTGCAAGATGTAGGCGGCGGGGGTGGGGCGGAGGCGTTTTTCCTGCTTGGCTGCTTGTCTCGAAGGTGCTTCCATCGGCGCCTTTGCCATCGAACCCCCAAGGGAGCTGGGATCCCTGAAGCTTTGATCGGTGGTCCATAGTGGTCCAGCCAGGTACACCAATTTACTTGCCCCTCCCCCATTCCCCCGCAGCCCATCTCGGCCCTAACCGAGGTTTGCTCACCCCTTCGTCGAGTGCTGGGAGATCCGTTTGCCGTGGAGATGACCAAAGCAGGACGTCTTTCGCTTCTGTACTTCTCTCCCCCGGCTCGAATGCTCTATAAAAGTAACGAACTAGTTGTTGGATTTTCTTCATGGTCTTTTTGTTTAGCCGGCTGTGCCGCAAGACATGTCCATCCTTTCCATCACATTCGACGCAACTTGCAATGGGAACCTAGCTGTATAGATCGTAGATCGTAACATGGCGCACGCAACGTTTCAACCATGGCGCTTTTGTCTATCTTGCCAAGTTGCCACGAAATGGTGCTGAAAGATTCGATGTCGCTCGACCATGTACGTCGCGCAAGATTTCGTTGTGGTGGAGGTGCCGCAGCCTTCGGCTGGGCCAAAGAGGCCCTGCCAGACAGCGGGGGGGGGGGGGGTCCGTTGATCGCCTCGCACCATGGCCCGCGGCAAACCTGGATCCAAGCCTGGCAAGCGAAAGGCGGGATCCGGAGCCTTCACTGAGTCTTGGAGTAGCTGAGCAGCGCTGCCTTCACAGGCCATTCCTGCCAAGAAGGAGAAGGAAAGGCGAGGCAGACTCTGTAAGACTCTCTCTCTCCTCCTCCCCTTTTCCTCCCTTTGTCACAGGCCCAAGGAGGCGACGGACGACCCCGTGGCGCTATCGGATCGGCACGTGGCAGAGGCCCTGGCAGAGTCCCTTCCCTGCGACCTCACGCCGCAGCAGATCTTCTGCCTGATGAGCCACTGGCAAAAGCCCATCCTCAAGGCACGGATCCCGGGCCAGCGTGGCCGGAGACCCACTAAGCAGATGCTGGAAACGGCCAAGAAGCAGGTCAAACGATTCCTGGCACGGGAGAAGGCTTTGGGAGACGAGAGCAAGGTGGTGAAGGCCTTTCAGTTGGCCTCCGGAGAGCCTTCGTTACGTTTCGATTGGGCTTTTGCACAAGAGAAGGCTCACAACGCCAGCCTCGATCGGGAACAAAAAGTGGATGCCTGGTCCGAGTGCTTTGCCATGACCAGTGGACACACAAATCTCAGTTCCGAGATCTTCCTCTGTGGCACCAAGAAGCTCACGCAAAAAGCATTGAACTCCCTGCTCTGCCACGAGTCCCTTGGAGAAGAACGGCTCGGCTTTGCGTGCAGGAGCATGAACCTCACTAGAGTACTACAGCAGCGTTCGTCTTTTCACTGAAGTCCAAAGCTGGACACCACACTTTGATTCGAGATCAACAACATCAACAGCACCAACACCAACGACACCAGCGCAAAATAACAACAATGCCACCGCCACCGACACCGCCACCGCCAGCACCGCCAGCACCGCCAGCACCACCAGCACCACCAGCACCACCAGCACCACCAGCACCACCAGCACCACCAGCACCACCATCACCACCATCACCAGCATCACCACCACGACAAACAGCAACGGCAACAGCAACACCAACAGCAACCACAACGACAAGGATAACGGAAAGTACGACGACGACGACGACGACGACGACGACGACGGCAATAGCGACAACCGCGACAACAACGACAACAGACAACAGCGACAACGGAGACAACGGCGACAACAACGACAACAACAGCAGCGGCAGCAACGGCAACAATAGCAACAATAGCAGCAACGACAACAGCAGCAACAGCAACAACAGCAACAACAACAACAACAACGACGGCAACGGCAACAGCGACCGCATCAGCAACAGCCACAATCAACCGCAACTGCAACAGCAACCACAATCAACCACAGCAGCAACAGCAACTGCAACAGCAACCACAATCAACCACAGCAGCAACAGCAACCGCAAACGCAATCAACCACATCAGCAACAGAAGCCGCAACCACAACAAAAAACACAATCAACTGCAACAGCAGCCCCAGCTCCAGCCCCAGCAACAGCCCTAGCAACAGCAACAGCAGCGACAGCAACAACAAGGGTGCAGAAGCAACGAATACAGTATGTAAGCCGTCGCAGAACACACAAGAGGGATTTTTGCTCTTGCGGAAGCGGTCGCTTGCTATGTGTCCGCGGAAGGGGTAACGTGCACCATGCACTGAAGCAGAAGCCTGCCAACGCGTCAAGCCGCAGAAGGCTGTGCAAGCACTGGCAGAAGGAGCTTTGCGTCTTAGAGCTTGAAGCAGCACAAAAACTCCACAGCAGAGAGCTCGAATGACTTTCGGTGACTACAAGGATTTTGCGAAGTCTCAAGGATCCCACGCGGTGCGATCTCTAGCTGAGGTCCTTGCACAACCTGGCGCGCCGACACATGCGGCCGGGCAATCCCTTCTTTGCAGAGGCCCCCGGTGTTGAGAGGACTTGAAGAAAAGAGTCAACAAAAGTATCCACATGGATACTAGAACTACTAGAGTCTACTAGAGCCCCCCCCTGGAGGATACGGAGCACATGGCCATGGCTTTGCTGGGCGATCCTCAGCTGGTCCATGAGGAGAACTTGGACAAGGTGTTGAAGGGCAGGGACTGAGTCTGAGAGAGTTGGGAGGGTTCCGAATTCAGCTGTAGGATCCCCTTGTTGGGTGTGAAAATGTGTGAAACATATGATGCGAAAGTTCGAGGTGATGGCAGAAGGCAAAGTGCCGGAAGCCACTCAACAGGGGGGGCAGCTTTCGACCCACTGCGTGCCGAAAGCACATGTTCAAGATCTTCCATGATCTTTCGAGATCTTTCCTGTGTCCTGTGAGAACGAATGGCCTGGGAACCGTTTCTTCAGTTGACTCCATTCCCAAGAGCTATAAGAGGTTCCAGCGATCCTGTCCTAAAATTCGGACAGCGAAGGACCTGGAGCCCGATTGCATACAGGAAGAGGACCATTTTAGTATCCAGTCTGAACTTGAACAGCTTTCATCATTTCAAAGAGACTGAAGCAGAGAACATAAGACATAAGCCGAAGGGTGGAATTGGTACTCGCAGGTAGACTTGCGACGAAGGCAGTGACACTGCGTGACGCTATGTGTTGACCTTTGACATTGAGAAAGCAAGAGCTTATGACGGACACATTTAGAATTTAGACGTCCGCATGCTCTTGAGTTGTCAGGTTACTGTTGGATAGCTTGGCTGCAGAACAACGCCAGATTGGCTGAACTGTGCGCAAACTGCAGCTCAGTGAAGCCCACTGTCGAAAGGACGCGGTCCTCAATTGGCGCTTAAGTGGTGCAAGACATGTCAATGACAACCTCACAGGCCTTTCAATGCCTGCAATGTCACCAAAACAGCTGCGAGCTCTCATGATTAGTTGGAGTGTTACTCGCACAGCATGCTATCTGTTCTCGCTGCAAAGGAGAAGGAAGAGAAGCATATCGTCGCCTCGTTCTTGCCATGTCTATCATTGCTGTTATGACAGGTTGTGCCAATCTGTCAGGGTTATTTGTTGTTGTTGTTGTTGTCAGTTTTCGTAGCCACCGCTTTTCATTGGTTCTACTTTTGTGGCCAGTTGTTGCAGGAAAGCCTTGCGCCCCGGCATCATGCCACGGTGTTCTTGCGCCTGACTCAGACTTTTCGATGCTCAGCCCACAAGTGTTCGTAGCATTGACCGTCAGGACGACGGCTGGCAGCATCAAAGATCCCGAACGGTTTCACGGAAACGGACGGGGTGCTTATTCTGCGTTGAAGCTTCGCCAGCTAATTCCAGAAACGGCAGACATCTACGTGCCTTCCCAGACTTGCGGCGGACTTGGGGTCTCACTTGGGCTTCTGAAGCTTCCGGGGAGGACTTGGTGGCCGATGCGATGAGGCCTGGGCTACTGGAGGCCCCAAAGTTGGTAATCTTACCATGGAGCCCCGAGCCCCGGATCGGATCCGAGTTGTGCTGCCCTGGTTCTCCTGAAAGCTGCCGCTCTTTTGCCAGAGCTCCGGCTCAAATTTCAAATGCACCTGGACGTGCAGACTGCTCGCCCGATCCAAACCTGAGACAAACATCACCTTCACGCGACTAAAGGCAGCCAAGGTTTGGATCGGGTTGGGGAGAATCAGCCTCTAGATGCATGGAAGTGGTGATGGTGGAACGAGGCGACGTGTGCCCGCCGCCACCGCCCGGAGCGCGGCGTCAACTGCTGATGCCTCCAATTCTGCCGGAATTCCGGAAGAGGGAAGGCAGTGCCGCAGTGAGCCCCTACTCGTCTTTGCTGTGTTATTGCCTTTGCCACTGTTGTTGGTTTTGCGGTCGTCGTTGTAGTTGTTACTGTGGGCGCTTCGGTCCATTGGCGGTGGTAGTGGTGGTTGGTGTTCCTGTGCCCTGTGCTGCGCTTGTGATAGATGTTGACTGGAGACGCCCGCCGTCCAAGGCTCTTTCTTCGCTAAGCCAATGATATCTTGCACTGCCTTGCAGCTGACACTGCTGCAATGCCAGAGACTCCGTGCTCCCCGTACTCCTCAAAGCTTCGAATTCCGCTGGGCTGGCCGTGTCTTCCAAAGCTCACGCCTTGGCAGGTTCAGACCCTCCGGTTCCTCGAATGTTCTCGGTGAGCAGGCCAGGGCCATCCAGGGCCTGTAGGAGAAGGGTTTGCAGGGTTTAGGGTTTAGGGAATGCGGGTTTAGGGTGTGCAGAGAGTGCAGGGTTTAAAACTTAGGCCTCTGTCTAATAGGCTTTCCAGCTAGCAGAAGAGGCGACAAAAAAGTTTAGGGCTGCAGAGCATACGGGGGGGACCTACTGTAGTAGTTCGCTTTGATTTCGTGCTCGCGGATTTGTTGCCATGGTCTCAGCAGGTCCCCGGCAGTTTCGGCAGAATGTCCGCGATGCAGGGCCCGGGCAGCTTGGAACAAGCACAAAAATCATAAATCCATCAATAACTTCATGATCTGAGGATCTCGGATTCCTGTGACGCCAGGCATGGGACCTTTGATGGGACAGGTGCCCCAGCAGCCAATTGCCCGGATCTCAGCTGAGTCGCGGGATGCTCTGCTCTGTGGATGCTTGGCTGCCAAGGTGTGGCAGCCTTGGGGCTTCTCGCCAGCAGAATTGGGGGGGGGGGATGCGTTTCGGAGATGGTCTTCTTTGATTTGACTCCTGCAAGAACAAGGTTACCATACCTATGCAGGACCGTGGCATCAGGCACGAAGAGCGTCTGTCAGTGTCTTTTTCTTTGCGGCGTTGGCTTCAACTTTCGGAGAAGAAGAGACCTTGTCAAATCCGGAGGCCTGACCCTCACACATCATGATAATCCTTGAAAGGCCCACGTGGTGAATTCTTCGATCCCTCCATGGACGCCGCAGAATGTGCTGTCGGATATCCAGGAGGCTAGAACTTTTGAAAGCAGCTTCTTGCTTGCTCTGAGCCTCTTTTCTCTTGGCCTTATTGGTGGGAGGTGCATGCCTACGGATCCTTGGTGTTATCTTAGGACTGTCTTGCTTGGCGATTGCAGCCTCCAGGAGCTTCTTTGTGAGCTGAGGAAGGGGTCCCATCGTCGCCCCGAGCCGTCCGCCGTTGCCAGCACAGTTGCTTTGGGGTCAGGCCGAGATGGACGGTAAAGGGGTTCGACTAGATTCAGCTTTTGGTATTTAGAATTTCGAGTCTAGGACAGTGGCATTTGTTTCAGAACCTTGCAGGCGGAGGCTGGACAGAGCTCTGCACAGCAGGATCAGCAGGCCGCTTTCGGCGTCGTTGCTTCACGGTCCGTGGCTTTTGCGCGCGACAGGTGCTCACCTTCATCATCCAGAACATACCTGCCCGCTGTACACCACATCGCCTGCTGCAGCTCTTTCAACCTGCACGAGGTGGTCCTTGAAGGGTCGTGTGGGACAGGGACAGCGAGAGGCAGATCGTTGATGTGTTGTCGACAGAACCCCAGAATGTCCTCACAGATTGCGGCAACGGCGTAGTGGGACACAGAGAGAGTGACAGAGCCCTGGTGCAGATGGCATCGACTTCCTTTACTTGCCCTTTAGGCCAGGACGGGAGAGAGAGCGGGGCCCGAGTCTGAGCCCGAGCGGAGCCCTGGCAGG